CGATTATCTGATCAGATAATCGATTATCCTGGCCCAATTTTGTTCCCCTGCGTATTTGACTCTGGAATAATCGATTATCACTCAAAATAATCGATTATTTGGGTTTGTTATGTGTTTTAAAATTCAAAATTGGACCAAGTTTCGAAAACCCTATTCCCAATTCATCAAGTTTCGAAAATCCCCAATTCTCAGACCCTATTCTCTTTACTTAAGGTTCTCTAAGACTCTTTGCAAATTGAACAAACCTTTTTCATACAAATTTAAGAGTTGTCACTGCTAGAGAACTATTTGTAGGGAAGAAAAAGGGGCTTTTGAAAACCTAGTGTGGGCTAGAAGCGATAAGAATCACTGAGTGGGTTTCTTGGTGGATTGTGTGTTGTGTGTTGTGTCGTCTTTAGGAAAAACTGTTCTTCATCCTTTGTGGATTCAAAGGAGGTGTTCATCTCTTGTGTGACTCAAGAGAGGTGTTTTCTTTACCTTATCTTTTCGATTTGTAAACTGTTTGTAAGTTGTGATTATAGTGACAGCGTTAATCCTCTATTTGAGTGATTAGCAACTGGACGTAGGGTCTTTTGATTCGAACTAGTATAAATTAATTGTGTAATCTTTTATCCCTTATCTACTTACTTTACACAGCATTTTAATCGGTGAAATTTGGGAAAAATTTTAAAACCCTAACTTTTTTTTAAGAAACTAATTCACCCCCCTCTTGGTTTTTGTCTGTAAACGCAAACATTCCGCTGCACGATTCTAACAGAATCTTTTGGTGAAATTTTCAAAAATTGTAAAATTTGTTCAGAAAAATGGTTTATTTAGACATTAAGGCTTTATTTTCAAAGAAAACAAATTGTGTGTACCTAAATATTCACAAGAAACTTGCTTGTTAGTGAAGCACATGAAGAAGATTTACTGGGACACTTTGGGGTCCAAAAGACTCTAGAAATATTACAAGAACATTTTTATTGGTTTTATTTAAAAAAGGATGTTAGAAATTTTGTGAACATTACATTGTTTGTAAAAAGACAAAGTCAAATGTAAAACCTCATGGATTGTGTACTCCATTCCCAATTATGGAGAATCCTTGGATTGATTTATCCATGAATTTTGTTTTAAGGCTGTAAAAAATTAACAATAACAAATATTTAATTTTTTTGATGTATCTTTTACTTTTGCAAGACCTAGCTTATCTTGATCGAGCTTTGAACCATGGAGTTGACCCTCGTCAAGAAAATATTGGAGATTGTATGTTAGTTATTCAATGCTAAACATGAAACTGAATTATATGTCTTTGTCCACTTGTTGAAGATTTAATTGATCAAAAGGTTGATTCATAATATTTTTTTCCCTTAGTAAGAAAGTATAACATATAATTTACCTTTATTTTAGCATATTTTTATACATTTCTTTACAAAATTGTTTGTTACTTCAGGTGGTCTCGACTTGGTCAGAGGTCACATATCCCTACATACGTTGTATGCGCAGTACATACATGTTAGATAAACTATTACCTAAGCGGTATACTACAATGTATTTGTTATTCTTTCATATGTATTTTATTTTCAAATAATATATTTTTACTTTAATGTACAATTTATATGAACTCCTTATTATAAAAGTGTACTACGATAACTAATAAATGTTGAAGTTTATCCTGCTTTACCTGCTATTGTACCTCTTATTTGTTTCATAACAATTTAATTTCATCATGTTGATCGAGTAATGAGACAGTTTGGTTCACAAAAAAATATTCCTCATGATCCAATAAACTTAGATGAACTTCATAAAATAGATATGAGGGACAAAACACACATTTTGGCTGCAGTATCATCAATAGTGGCTTGAGTTATAGAACAATCGACATAATCGACTAATTAACATTAACAATTTCGTGGAAATGGACATTTGTGTGAAAATATGTGTTATAGGTATTGGTATTTTTAATACACTATATGACATATTTACATTCAAAGTATAAGATACAGATAATGAAATATCATTCAAAGTATAAGATATAGATAATGAAATAAGTATAAGATACGGATAATGAAATAAGTATGAAATATTATTTCAATTAATTATATTTTACCCACAAATACTAGTTTTATATATATTTTTATTAGTATGATACATCACAAGAGGAACAACAACACTAAACACCTAAACCAACTTATTCCCATGTTGGTCCATTTAGTTATCAACAACCTACTCAGTCATGTTATCAACCTACTTAGTCATTTTATCAACAAGTTGGTTCATTTAGTTAACTGTAGCCTAGTCTATCAACTTATCAATAAGTTGGTCAATCTAGTTTTCAACATGCTCTATTTTATGGTTATGTATATCATCTTCAAAATTTAGTAAAGGGAAACCATTTTGAAAAACATGTCCTTTACACATTTAATATGATGTCTTCAGAATCAAATATTTTTATCACCTCTTCCATGACACCAACATATCTTCAAGTTGGATCCATGAATTCTTATCGACTAACAGTACCTACACATCGGAATCTAATTCAATAAGAGGAACATGATAATAGTTATCCAAAATCACAACAAAAACATATCCCTTACTAAAGACTTGTGAAATAAAATTCTCACACTAAATTATTTTTAGTTTAATTTTGTATTATATTACTTTGTATCATAAAATTATTTTTATTTTTATTAATATATGTGATTTATTAATTATTTTTATTTTTTAAATTTATTTTACTTAAAATATAATAAATAAGAATATAAAAAATTCAGAATTATGTTAAATAACATACTTTCAGAATTAAAAAATAAGATATAAAATCATAATAAATGATTCGAGTCATAAAAAAAATATCAGGTAACCCGATTTTCTTATATTGAATCGTCCTATATGATATTACTTATTCATTCTTATAAATTTCATCAATTTAATAATATTCTATTTAAATTGCACCAAAACGGTGAAAAAGGAACTCAAAATTTGAAGTAATTTTGAGATTTTGTCACAAATATTTCCTTTCTAATATCTTTAATATAAAAGATATTAAAAGAGCAGTTATACGAGTGATATTTGTAAAATTAAAAATAACGTGTAACGTAGGTGGATTTTTCTAACTCCACGTTGTTGTCATGTCAAGAAGTGGCGACACTAACGCATTTAGAAAGCAGCCAACTCATACTTCTTCGCTGCGAGGGAGCTACGTACCAAACGTGAGCTGTACAAACTAAAATGCCAGTCAGTGACTCACTGACGGTGGTCCAAACAAACACTCCCTAATCCTAATCTCTCTCTCCTCTCTACCCTAATTAATAATCCCACTATTAATTATTAATTCATAGCCAAAAAACCAATTATAATAATAACACTCCCATTATCGGATACAGCTCACCCCACCATACGCCTCCTTCTCCCGCAAGCTTTTCTATTCTCGTTATTTCCACGCTCTCCAAGGTCAATTGCGTCATTCCACACCAAATAAAAGCTTAGAGTTATTTATTATTTTTCATTTTTTATTCTTTTGTAAAATTGTTTCCAGTAAAGAAGAGTATATTAATTAATATTTATTATTATTTATTGAATTCGAAGAGAACACAAACACAGAGAGAGGAAGAGGACTGAAAAGGTGATGGTTTTTGGAGTTTCTGCAACGTCTTGCTTTTTAAGAACCACCTAATTCCGAATATCTCAGCCCACCCAACCACCACCACCACCACCATTTCCAACGCCACCTCCACCGTCATTCCTTGTCGCAAAAAAATCCTAATCCCTATAACTCACCATTCTCTCATTGCTGCAGCATCAGCTACTCGCATTTTTTCATTTTTTCCGGTAAGTCGATTTTGCCCTCGCCGGTGTTTCTTCTACAACTGAATCACCCAATGCTGTTGTTAACTTCCTACTTCTTCTTCTTCTTTTTTTCTTTTTCGTTGTTTTTTGTTTTTAATTTTTTATCCTCTGATAATTCCTTCTGTAATAAACCTCTATTGCTTAATTTCTCTTCGAGTTCGTTTTGTTTTCTTTCTATAACTCGCCATTGCGGCGATTTTTCTTGACTTTTCGAATTTTGTCGGTGGCTCGAATTTGTGCTTAGAGCGCTTCCAATTCAACTTGTGTTTGAGTTTGTACGTCTTCCTTGTTTCTAAATTAGGAAGAACGAAGTTGCAGAGTGTCCATTTCCGCCATCCATTTCCGAAAAAAAAAATTGATTCTATTGTTCCTCGGATTAAGTATTTCCATGATTATGTATTTTCCATTTTCAAAAAATCTCGAGTAATTTGGATCTAATTTCGAGCCACCACGACGTTGGTTTGTAATTTGGATTTGAATTATTTGGTATTAAATTGTTTCAGTTTAACTGAAGTTTGAATTCGAATTACTTTAAATATTCTAAAGAAGAGTTTTCTAGTTTTGTAGCTGGTAGTGGTATTGGTTCTTGAGGCGGATACTTTTGTTTACCAAAAACTGAGGTTCTTTTATTTTAGTTTTTCTGAAGAGGAAATGCATTTTTGTTCAAGTGTTCGGTTGTGTGTTATCATGGGACGAGAATATGTGAAGTGCTATGGTTAGATCTTGGAGATCGCAGCTAGCATCATTGGCTTAATGTTTGCTACTGTGTGAATTAATGCATCAGCATCACAAATATAGTAACATGAGTCAATCAGGGACCCAAAATGGGTGCCAAATTATGAGCAATCTACAATTTGACCTTGCCCTGTTCCACTGTTTGCTTTTGGTGTTGTGTCCTGTGCGCTTTCTATGGCCACCGACACTACCGACGAGTGCATATATATACTTTTATATAGTGTTGAAAATGGAAGCCACTTGTGTGATGGTATCGTGGTGGCTTTTTGTGAAACGGTGGGATGGTTGAGTATTGGGTTTGAGTTACTATTAGGTGTGTAATAATATAGTCTCTGTGGGAATTTAGCAGTGCCCACTGGTTAAAAAAAGGAAAAGAAAAGAAAACTTGCTTTTAATTTTAATTTCAACTGTTTTGGATTATAAGGTGTCCGTACTTTTCAATGGACCGACGCTGGCCATGGAAGAAAAAATCGTCGGACAAGGCTGTGATGGAGAAAGCAGCTGCAGAATTGGACTCTGCTGCGAGTGCTGCTACTCAGGTACGTATTTATTGTCGGTTCACTAGAGCAAAGAACTAGTAGTTGCTAATATTTCTGATCCAGGAAATTATCTTCTATTATTTTTCTCACCTTCACTTACACGTGATGATTTTAAGTTTTATCGAGAGGCAAATGTCCAAGGGTCCCCTCCCCAAAAAATATATAGGGGACAATTTGATCCCTATAAAAAATTAAAATTTCATTTAGTCCTTCAAAATTTTAAACATGGGATGCTTTGGTCCTTTTGTCCATTTGAGTTTACTTTTTACAAGGACAATTTGGGTCATTGATTATTTTGTCAAGGACTAAGTTAGTACCGGATTAACTTCTTTGAGGACTAACTATATGCTAACAACGGAGAGAAAATGAAGGAGAACTAATGTGCCCCACGTTTGTTATCATTATTGAAGGACTAAATGATTATTTTTTTTGGAGGGGCTAAATTTTCTACTGTAATTTTTTGCAAAGGCTTAATTTGGACATTTGCTCTCTCAACCTTTAAATTTGTCTTTAATTTTTTTGCACACTTACATTAGATTTTTTTTTTTTTTCTGTTTGGGTAACAAGAAGCCGAGCTACGTCCAAATCTCAGTAGAGTCATATTCCCATCTGACTGGTTTGGATGATCAAGTGAAGGCATATGAAGAAAAGGTTCAGACACTGGAGGATGAGATCAAGGAATTAAATGAAAAACTGTCTGCAGCTAATTCGGAGATAAATACAAAGGAAAGCCTGGTAAAACAGCATGCTAAAGTTGCAGAAGAGGCTGTCTCAGGTATAGTGCTTTAATGATTCCTATTTAAAGATGTTCAAAGCTCAAGTCTGCCTTGATATGTAGTGCGTCTTATTTTTTCTTGGAATTAATATTCCGTTGAAACTCTGCAGGCTGGGAAAAGGCTGAAGCAGAAGCTTTAGCTTTGAAGAACCATTTGGAGTCTGTCACTCTTGCAAAACTCACTGCTGAGGACCAGGCATCACAGTTAGATGGTGCTCTCAAAGAGTGTATGCGACAGATAAGAAACCTGAAGGAAGAACATGAACAGAAATTGCAGGAAGTTGCTCTCACAAAAACCAAGCAATTGGACAAGATTAAGGGTGAGCTTGAGTCTAAGATAGCAAGCTTTGAACAGGAACTTCTCAGGTCTGCTTCCGACAATGCAGCTCTGTCAAGGTCCTTGCAAGAGCGCTCTAACATGATAGTCAATTTAAGGGAAGAAAAAGCTCATGCTGAGGCTGAAATTGAGCTTCTTAAGGGAAATATTGAATCATGTGAAAGAGAAATCAATTCTCTCAAATATGAGGTTCATGTTATTGCCAAAGAGCTTGAGATTCGCAATGAAGAAAAGAACATGAGTATGAGGTCTGCAGAAGCTGCTAATAAGCAACACATGGAGGGTGTTAAAAAAATTGCTAAATTAGAGGCAGAGTGCCAAAGATTACGAGGTCTAGTGCGGAAAAAGTTACCAGGTCCAGCTGCACTTGCACAAATGAAGCTAGAAGTTGAAAGTCTTGGTCGAGAATATGGAGAAACACGATCAAGAAAGTCTCCTGTCAAACCCCCTACTTCTCACCTGTCCTCGATGCCTGGGTTCTCCCTCGATAGTGCTCAGAAATTCCACAAAGATAATGAATTTCTCACAGAGCGTTTGCTGGCAACGGAAGAAGAAACAAAGATGCTGAAAGAAGCTTTGGCAAAACGTAATAGTGAACTGCAGGCTTCAAGGAGTATGTTTGCTAAAACTTTGAGTAAACTTCAAATTTTGGAAGCACAAGTTCTGACAAGTAATCAGCAGAAGGGATCTCCTAAATCCATCATAAATGAAAGCATTTACAGTCAGAATGCAAGCAATGCACCAAGCTTGATCTCCATGTCTGAAGATGGAAATGATGATGTTGTAAGTTGTGCTGAGTCTTGGTCTACAGCCATTCTCTCTGATCTATCCCAACTTCCTAAAGGAAAAAATACTGAGGAATTGAGCAAATCTGATGCAACTAAGAAGTTGGAACTAATGGATGACTTTCTGGAGGTGGAGAAATTGGCTCGATTATCAAATGATTGCATTGAAGTTTCAGGTAATTCAAATAATATAGCAAATGAAACTGCGACAAACGATGTATCAGAAGTCAGTGTTCCCTCTAACTCCCAAGAGAATAGTGACCCAAATCCATTGCCAATTGAGGTGTCTTCTGCTGAGGAATTATCAGCATCTGATCCCCAATCTGATGTTCCTAGCTTGTCGCTAGCAGAGCTTCAATCAAGAATATTATCAGTTTTCGAGTCCATGGCTAAGGATGCTGATATGGAGAAGATATTGAAGGATATTAAACACGTTCTTGACGATGCATGTGACATTTCCGTCCAGGACTCTGTATCTGCCGTTCCCCATTATGTCATACCTTCTGATGTTACGTGTGATAAGCAGGGTGACACTGAAGATGCTGGCTTAAACTCAGAGAAAGAAGTTATTTCATCCCAGCAACATCCAGAGTATATGCAGATAACTACGGATTTAGAAATGGCAATTTATCAAATTCATGACTTTGTGTTGTTCCTAGCCAAAGAAGCAATGGCAGCACATGATATATCTTCTGATGGAGATGGAATAAGCCAAAAGATGCAGGAGTTCTCTGTCACTTTTAATAAAGTTACATCCAATGAAGCAAGTTTGCTACAGTTTGTTCTGGACCTGTCTAATGTACTAGTCAAAGCAAGTGAATTCAGATTTAATATCCTTGGTTATAAGGGTACGGAAGCTGAAACTAACAGTCCTGATTGCATAGATAAGATTGCTCTGCCGGAAAATAAGTTAGTTCAAGACAATTCATCTGGAGAGAGATATCAAAATGGTCATTCCCATATTCTTAATCCCTGTTCTGATCCTGAGGTTCCTGATGATGGAAATTTGGCCTCGGGCTATGAATCAAAAGCCACGTCACAGAAGTTCTCAATGGAGAAGTTCGAAGAATTGAAGTTAGAGAAAGAGAAGGCAGTCGCTGATCTAGTAAAGTGTTGTGAAAATCTTGAAATGACGAAGTCTCGGTTACTAGAGACAGAGCAGCATCTAGCTGAAGTTAAATCACAGATGGCTTCTGCTCAAAGATCAAATAGCCTGGCTGAGACACAGCTAAAATGCATGACAGAATCGTACAGGTCAATTGAAATACGTGCAAAGGAGTTTGAGACTGAGCTTAATCATCTGCGAATGAAGACAGAAACTCTGGAGAATGAACTGGAAGATGAAAAGAGGGCTCATGAAGCAGCTTTGGCCAAATACAAGGAGCTAGAAGAACAACTAAAAAGGTTAGACACTCGTTCAATATCATACTGTTTATAATCACTGAAATTACACATTCTGCATAATGCTGGACATGTTTTCCAATATTTTATGTGAATGTCTCGCGCTGGTTCTATTTCTAATTGCTAATTTCCCATGTTACTCTGTCAGGAATGAGAGCGCAGCTGCTGATAATGACGTTAAGACTAAGCAGGTAAAGCTGTAATCCGATTCAAATAGACAGGCTCATGCTCGATTCAATTTTGTGTTGCCAAATACTCGAAATACTATTAAGTTGGAAAACCTTAAGATCTAAGTCTTACTTGCTTAATTTTTTCTGCAAATACTTACAGAAGAAAAAAATAAAAGCAAATTTAACTTCTTTCATAAGCTAAAATAAACTAATACATTTTATCTTGTGGAAAAAATATGAAGGAAAGTTAAGTGCATTACTTGATTTAGTTTACGGGAGAACTCAATTTATTTTGTATTTTTATTTTCTTCTCTTATAAGGGTTTATAAAGAAGTTTATTTAAACTCAAGCGTACTCATAATAATAACATCATAATAGGCATCTCAATCTAGGATTCTTTGTGATGAGTTGACAATCTAAGTGAATTTTTCCTTTATCATAGGAGAGAGACTTGGCAGCTGCTGCTGAAAAGCTAGCTGAGTGTCAGGAAACCATATTTATTCTTGGCAAGCAGCTAAAAGCTCTGCATCCTCAAACAGAGCAAATGGGATCTCCTTATTCAAAGGGTGAAGGCGTCACAGAGCGTGAACCTATTAGCCCAAGTTTTCAAGATCGAGCAGAGATGGACAGTGCTACTTCTGCATTTGTGCAAAGACTGGGAGGAGAGTCCCCCTTACATTTTACCAACAGTTTATTTAGTCCATCAGATAACGAGTCAATCTTTCCAGCCATATCTTCTGTACAGAATTCAAACCACAGGCCTACCATGTCTTCCTCGTCGTCAGCTTCTTCCACTCCAACACCAGACAAACACACCCGAGGTTTTAGTAGATTCTTTTCATCAAAAGGTAAAAACGGTCATTGAGCTTGAAGCATGCATGACCGCTTGGAATTCATGAGTTAGGGAGCCGCGTCGCAATAATGAAAAGCATCAAGGTTCAATCCCCTTCATGATTTAACAGAATTGAGTTTTCGGGAGGAATATGTAGTTGAAGACAGAATGCCATGGATATAGGGTGGTTCTTGTATTTAATGGTTGTACATGGTAAACATATGTTTTTCCATTGTTTCATTCCCTCTGTTCTGTAATTTAATTAGCAAACATTGACATAGCCTCTGAACTATTACAGGATATGTTGAATATTGTTGTATTTCAGAAATTTATGCAGCATACCTTGATTCTTTATCAACGATAATAGATTATTGATTTTTCAAGTGATAACCAGTGTCAGAAATGACAATGATTTCAGCAAATAAATAAAACTAAAATTAGCTTTTCTTCTCTCCAATATATCAAAGGCAGTACACAGATAGCCTGTCATCTCAAAATTCCATATCCCTCACAATCCATTGGTTCAGGAAAGGCTCTCTAAATTCTAATGAATCACCAACGAAGATGTGTAAAAAGGGCATGTTTGATTATGAGCTTCCAAGAGTCAATAAAAATGGTTTTCACAGTGGTTCTTAGCTAAAGGTGGATTTAAATGGGCCAATCCGACCTCATCCGTTGGACCAAATAGTTAATGTGGGTTAGTTTTGGTGGTTGAATGAATCAGCTTAAATTGGTCCATTTATTTATTTTCTTAAATGTGTATTTATTTAAATGAAAAGTATATATCGACCAGAATTAATCTTTCTAATTCGTTTGATCAAATTAGTCTTATTTTTAGATTGCAATTTTCAAATTATTTCTTTATTTTTTTAATTACAATTTTCATATTCCACCTTATTTTTAGAAAAAAAAAGTATATTCAAATGAAGTAAAGCGTATTAAGTATTAGCTACCATAGTCTTATATAATTATCAGACTTTAATATGAGTGGAGTTTATTCAAAAGTAGAAAACTTATTTTATAATTAAGTTTAGTTATAATACAAGTCACAAATTTAAGTCCTTAGCATAAATATTTAATTTGGTAAAAATTATCCTTTTTTAATGGATGAAGAGATGGGATAAAATCTCGAAAAGGTGAAGAAACTATAAATTAAAATCAAGAGACATGTTATCTATCCAACTAAAAACAAAAATTATGAAGAAGATTGTATAAAGTGACAATGACACCAACAAAAATAGAATAAGGTGAAGATGAAGCATGAATATATGTATTAAACTCATCATAGTATAACCCAAGTCTAACATTACGTGGATCAACAACAAAAGTTGGATGTTTTCGATTGAAGTGCTTCCAAGTTTCACCATCTGATGATGGATGACGTAATACACCGAAACTTCTATTGTCATGGTGTCAAGTCATTTGCACAACAATTTACATTGATGCAAATATTCTTTATAATTTAGGAATTATAGGCAAGTAAAACATGTCATTTACTAGTAATGACTTGTTGTGAATTGTTCTTCTATTGTTTTCATGATATCTTAGCTTTTGACAAAATTTACATTAAAGTAATGTAACATATTTTTTGTCATTGTCATAAAAAAACATACACTCATTCACAGAATAATTGATCATCTTTATCTCTAATCACAACTTTGATACTAATCTCTTTGCATCATAACAAGTTTTTGGCAAATTATCTTTTATAAGTATAACATCCAACAACATGCGCGTCATAAAGTCTAAGTATTGATTAGGAATATTCCAATTTGACTTGCAAGCTAAAAGTCTAACACATATTGATAATTTTGAATCCACTACCCCCTCAGATAATGGATTATTTGTCTCTATCAACAAATTATTAAAACATTTGAATTGCTTCATTTGGTGGCTCTTCTATGTTAAGACACTCGAGACCTTGAAATTATTGATGTTGTTAAAGAGAATTGTACATCATCTCTTACATTGACATAAATTGGCCTTGTTCAGTCATGTGTACATCAATACTAAAACCAACAACACAATTGTGATTAACATTCTCTTTAACTTCAGTCACACACTCATCGTGATTTGTTCAAATTCAATAGTTTGGTTTGAACCCTTGCTTGTAAATATGAACTTTGACGATTTCATCCTTCAAAATTCTTGTACAATCGCATTTGGTGTATGGACATCGAATCCCATTATGTTCACAATACTCATATTGTCGAACAATTCTAACAAACTCTTCAATACCTATAACTAAAGACTCTTTCAAACATCTTCTACCACTATAACATCTATCATACATCCAGCTACGATTAAAAGGAACATCATTCATTCTTTGTAACAATGAAGAATTAGGATGAATTGATTTTGGATGTTGACAGATTAATTACAATGTATACTTGAAATTGAGGTTCGTATAGATGTAGTACAACTTATAGGAGTACTAAAACTTAAACTTTAATGTTTAGTTCAAGTTCATAGAATGACAATTTCATGAAAAACTTGGACAAAATATTATTAATTTTTTTTTGTCCTTGTACAAAACAAAACTTCCTTTTTTGCATAAAATCCAATCTATACTTGAATTAAGGTGGAATGAATCAACTAAAACTTTTATAAATAATAAGTTATTGTTTAATCGCCGTACACACTAATTGAGAACATGTAGACGATTGTATCTGCTAACTAATTAAAAATATGCTGATGCATGTTGAACTAAATTAAAAACATATATACTTATGCATGTTCAAGTAATTACAAAATTGTCCCAATAAGTAAAAATTGCACATAATTACAGTATAAAATTAAGAAATTAATAAATGGTCCAAGAAACAGCCTACTACAACAAAAACTCAAACATATTGCTCAACCAATCACTTATAAGAAATATGCACCAATAATTCAAAAAAATAATAAGAGAACCAAATATAAAATGTAACCTGAGTGGGTATAGCTCAAAAAGTTCTTCAATGATTATGCTTTTAGCCAAAATGTGTTCAAAATTACAATAATTGAAATATTTAAACCTGGTCAAAATATGTCAAATATGTGACAGTCCAATTTTAAATGTACAACTCAGCACCATCCTATTAAGTAACCACACAATCCAAACAACCAATTAAACTAATCTAGTTCAACGGTCTAGTTTAAATAATATAATTAGTACAATCAACTTCTAAGAGAATAGAGTCAAAGACAAAATAAAGACTAAAATAATTAAACACAAACGTGGACAAGCACAACCAACCCAACTTACTATAAACAGCAGGCACTACAACTTACTATCAGGCTAAGATCATCAACACATCCAAATCAACCTTTTAACAAAAATTTGGCAGCACAACAACAATACAACAACATAACCACAAAAGGACCCGTAGTCCCCCAGATTCAGAGTTATAACAACATTAGAACAATATATGAATAATATAAAGGTAGACCAACAATCCTTAACAATATTCCAAATAGGCTAGATGCAACAAACAATCCCCAGTTTAACAACAAGCAAGATTAACAACTGTAAACACCAAATAATAAAAAATTAAAAATTAAAAAAGCAACCACCAGCTAGACACCCTAAAGCCAGCCACCAGAGAACCAACCCTCCCTACTTCAGCCAGTCAACCCTCCTTACAGTACCACAAATCCTACATACATATAAATTGAGCTCCATGAAAATTGGGAAAGGGGTAGGAGAAGTTACCACATAATTAGAAAGACAAAAGAAAACGATAAAAAAAAAGAAACACCCACAACCCTCAGTCACCCACCATCAAAGAACCATCAGCCATAGCAATCAGTAACTCAAAACAATCAATAGAGACCACAATCAGAGGCAATCAACAATTAACAACAGAGGCAACAATTAACTATTGTATTCCTGATTCTCAATTGTAGCATGAAGTAGTTGTTATATACCTAAATATATGGCACAACGATTAATAAAAACTATATATATATATATATATATATATATATATATATACCAATGGTGACCACCACGACACCACTGCAATCTGTCACCTCTACCCATACCCGCGCCTCCTTCACCCTTCCCCACCATCACCTCTCACTCCACTCTCACGATCTCCACTTTCCAGTCCTCACTCCCCCTCCGACAGCCACTTCCGACCACCGCGGTCACTCCATCATTAGCCACCACAAGCTCACTTCCACCACGGGTATTAGACCACCCATCATCGTGACCCTTACTCTTCGAACCTAGTTGCAACGAAGCAACCCCCATCACCCCAGCTGAAATCACTGCGTTTCACACCACCTCCGTCGTGCCCCAAGCCATCGCGAGCCAGCCCTAGCCTCTACAGTCTCATCCTAACCCGGACCCTAGCCACCGTGTGACCATCTCATCCGTGCGACACACTACCCTCATCCTCACTCATCGCACCCGCCCGCTACCACCATCACACTGCCCTGGATCCATGTAGCGTAGCCAGCTCCACTGTGGGCTGCTTCCCCTCATCGGAAACTACTGTAGCACTCCCATCTCCCTTAGTTGAACCCTAGCCATGCGCGCCTCCCCTAGCAGCCCTAGCCGCTCTGCGAATCTCATCTCCTGCTACTCCCATTAGGTTTAGTTTAAGAGGCTCAAGCAAAAAAATGGGTAGAGATAGGCTAAAAAAAATCGTCACCATATGAAAATAATATAAAATGTTTCAAATAATAATCTGAACATTTTTTATGAATTATTGGATCTAATATTTTTTTTCTTTTCTAATTTAAACTGAACAACATAATAAAATAAGTTATAAAAAACAAAAAAATTATTATTATTATTACTATCTTATTATTATCATTATTATTATCTTATTATTATTATATTACTATTATTATTATTATTATTATTTCTTTTCTTTTTTATTTAAAATCAACAAATAAGTAGATGAATAATATTTTACATTAGTCACAATTAAACTTTTTTGTGTTATAATCTCTTTTTGTGATTAAAACTAATAAATTTACAAAGTTATTTATCCAAATATAATTACAATTTTGATTTAATTATTATAAGATTAAAATTTTATGGTTACTTTGAGCGTATTTTAATTTGATCATTCTAAAAATTATTTTAAAATGTTAAATTTTTAGTACAATGAATTTCAAAAGGGTTTAATTATGATAGTAACTGTTTAGGACACATTTTAAACTAATTATTACTTAAAATTATAAAAAAAATTAATTAATTATTTTGGATGTACTTTTAATTTGATTATCATATATTTATAATAATCACTTCAAATGTTCTTTTGATTTGATTATAATAAATACTGATTTTTAAAATATCTTAAATCCACGTAGAGAGATGATAAATGTAATAATTAAAAATATTTAAATATTAATAATTACTTTGGATGTACTTCCAATTTAATTATTACTTAAATTATAAAAAATAATAATCACTTTAGATGCACTTCTAATTTGTTTATTTCATAATTATCCTAAGTATACTTTTAATTTATCAACACTAATAAATAAACTTCTAATTTGTTTATTTCATAATTATCCTAAGTATACTTTTAATTTATCAACACTAATAAATAAATTTAAATAAATTACTCACAAATACATTTTTTATAAGAAAGAACTATGTCACTAGTGGCGGATCTTCTTGGGAGTTGAGGGGTCGTGGCCTCTAAAGTTTTGTAACTCCAATGTAATTTATAATTTTGGTCCCCCAAACATAATGAACATTTAATATATTTACTTATATATTTACAATTTTATCCTCTCATTCTCTTTTCAGCTTTGTAACTCTCATATAATTTATGATTTTGTTCCCTCAAACTTAATGATCATTTAATATATTTAAGTATATATCTAGAATTTTATCTTTTACCGTTTCATCTTCTTTCTCCTTTTATATTTATTTATGATTTATTAATAATATATTATTTGCCCCCAAGATCAATGGTCAAGATCCGTCATCGTACGTCACTTTAATTCTCTATTGCACCTGGGATACGTAGGAGCAAGGAGATGATCTCTGTCGAGTTAAAAATATAAAAATATATAATATTTTATTTTTAGTAACAATATTTAATCAATATAAGTTTGAGGGATAAAATAGATAATTTTAAGATATTTAAATTTTTTATGTCTAATTAAAGGTAACCGTTTTTAGAATGAATGTTGTAAAGTGCTAATACCTTCCTTACACATAATCGACTCTTGAACCTAATCTTTATTTCGTAGACCACTTTTTTTTCTTTTTGAAAGTTTTTTCGATATTTTTCCTTAAAATAAATATTGGTGATGACTCTATTGTTTTTCTTTCATTTAGAAGCATAATTTTGTCGTCTAGTCGCGATTCTGATTGCGACAACAACGTTCAGTTCAAATCCTATACAAACAACATAAAAAACAAGTAGAATCAAGATCCTAGACAAAAGACACAAAAATAATTAGAATCAAGACGGGGAGAGAAGTCCCAACAAATGCTAGCCATCAAATAAACATTCCTGGTAAACCCACAAACAATCAAACACAACATGCATAAGCGCCAACAAGAAGAAAAACCTCTTTTACTCCACACACATCCACAACCACTAGCTCAAGTCGCAACTCAAACTCGGGGAGCCCCGACTCCAACGTGAGCTGCTGCAGTGATTAGAGTTGGAGCTGAGGACACGACTCGTGGTGGCGACGATTCCGGTGGCTTGGGGGAGCTGATGGAGGAGGCAAATATGGTTGCGGAGTACAGTAGAGATAGTCGTAAGCCACGAAGGCTCATAGTTGGTGCAGGGAAGAATGCGATTGGTATTGGGACTTGGGTTGTAGTGAGGGTGGTGGTTCATCAATTTGGGAGAGCGCCTGAGCTTGGGATGCAATGGCTTGACTGGGTGGCTCGCCGCGTTGGTTTAGGGTTTTGATGAGGGTAAAGTGAGGGTGGATTCTTAAGTGATGATGATTGAAGATCTTGAAAATTTGATGAAGTCAAAGGATTTAAGGAATAAGGAAAGATTTGATGAAGTCAGAGAATTTATGGGTTAAGGGATATAGTTTTTAATGAGTCTGCATCAACATTAAATTGGTATAATTATCTATTCATTTCTATTGCATGATGTTCTATCATTTGAAAGAGATAAATATGTCTCTAAACTTTTTAATCTGTTAAAAATCTTTTTAATCGGTTAAGATGTTCTTGAGTCTCATATTTAACTGATATATTTATAGATTAATCGATTAAAATCAGCTAAAAACACTTCTAACACATTTTTAATTGATGTATTTTCGAAATAATTGATTAAAACCACTTAAAATAAGTGTAAGCATATTCATTGCAGTTTTAATCGATACATATTCGAAATAATCGATTAAAACCACTTAAAATAAGTGAAAACATGTGTTTATCGCAGTTTGAATTGATAAATATTCATTTTAATAAATTAAAACCACTTAAAATAGGTGTAAACATGTTTTGTCAGTATTTTAATCGATTAAAATACGAATTAATCAATTAAAATCACTTAAGGATTTTTGTGTAACTATTTTTATCGATTAAAACATGTTTTTATCGGTTAAAATATTTCGAAAAGTGTTGTAGAACATTTTAATTGATTAAATGATATTTTCATCGGTTAAAACAGTTAAAAACAAGATTTTTTAATCGATTAAAACACGAATTAACCGATTAATTAAACCAGTTTGTTAGAAAAATCTCTATATATAAATATATTTGCTTCAACGTTTTAAATACACATATTTTAGAAATCATTCAAACAATCAATAGAGATCTTTTCAAGAAAGAAACACATTATTTTCAGTGGGAATTTTCGAAATTCTTTCTTGAAGCATTTTTGTATTCTTGCTTGTGACTCATTCTGTAGTAGAATTTTTGCATCTACATAGTCGGGTTTGATTATTATAGTTTCTTTATTCTTTCATTTCTATTTCAATTATGTATTGCCTTGGTGTCTGAAAGATTGGACACTAGTTCTACAACTTGAATTTCGTTATTGGTGCAGGTTCAAGAACTAGAATTTGGTTTTTGTTGCCGTTTGGATTGTCTGTAATTTGATTATGTAAATCAAACTATTCAATCTAGTGAAACTCAATTGGAATTTGGTTGAGAACTGGATGTAGCCTGGTGGTTTGGGTGAACCAGTATAATTTTTGGTGTTTCTTTTCCTCTTCCATCACTTTCTTTAAACTGCTTGAACTTTATTCAATTCAGTTTTGTTTTCCTGGTTCAATACTTAATCAGATTTCTTAATCTTTGAAATTGTTAATCTGTATCTATAAGTTGCAAAAAGGTTTGTAAAGATCAATTCACTCCCCTCTTGATCTCAACCTATAAATCTAACATTAAGGTGGAGAATTTTGGGGCTGGTGATGCGTGACTAGGGTGGCGTGATTTCGGTGGCTTCGTGGAGCTGATGGAGGCGCGAAGGAGGGCGATGGTGGTCGTGGATCAGGCTGGTGAAGGTGCAATGGTCGATGGTTTAGGTCATGGGGTAGAAAAAGAGAGGGGGTGAGGGAGAGGGTGACTGTCGTTGTAGCTGTTGTAGGGTTTTAGGGGTGGCAGGTGGGCGACGAGAGGTGGTTCTAGTTGGGTTGCGAGATTGAGGAATCGTGAGGCTGAGTGAGTTGGGGCTGCCCGACTTAATTGAGTTGAGGAATTGGATGAGAGGAAAGAGTTGGGGCTGTCGTGGACTAAGGCGATGGAAGAGAGAAAACATTCTTTTCTTGATTAAAGCAACTTATTGACGAACAATAAATATATTACCGACAACACTTACCAACGGACCACAAATATTTCTTATGAAAGTAAACCTCATTAAGGAATTGATAATTATCGACGAATAAATTCGTGGGTATAATTTATCGATAAAAGATTATTTTTCAACTAATTTCAATCCGTCAAAAAAATTTCATCGCTAATTTACAATTTTCTTGAAGTGTTAATTCACCTTAATTTTTTTAATTATTATTTTTAATTACTATAATCGTGTTATTACGAAATAATAAATTATATTTTAGATGATTAATCTTATTCAAAAACTCAAGAAAATATATTTTATTTTTTATTTTTTTAATATTATAATTTTTTTATAGAGAAGTCTTTATAAAAAAGATGAAATAAATATTAGATGTATTTACATTATTAAATAGCTTAATTTTATTTGTAATATAACATGGTGATATTATTAATATTAATTATAATTTATTTCATTTAAATTATGTATATAGGATAAAATACTAATAGATGAACTTTTTTATTTTACCGTAAAGATATATGATTAAAATTACAATTGACAAATATTTAAATATTTAAGAGAGAGAAAAATATTAATGAAAATACATATTAAAAATATAAATTTGAATAGTTTTTTTAATTAAATTAATTCATTTTCTTATTTTTATGAATTAGGTAAATGGTCTCATTAGTAAGATGGGAGTACTATTCACGTGACACATGTAGGGACAAATCATGCGAAATTTTGTCTACAATAACACGTATCCGTTTTTTAATTACTCAAATAACATATTGTATGTTTTATTTATCTAGATAAGCACAGCTTTTTTGTAAGTTGAGAATTCGATTTTATGGAATACGAAACCTAAACGTAATTGTATTTGATAATTTTTTCAAACAATTTAAAATTCGATTTTCCGACAACCGAATTTCGAACAGCTTTTCTTTTTATTTTGTTAAGAAAAAAAACTAACTAATATATATATATATATATATATATATATATATATATATATAATATGTTATAATATTTTATTTAACATTTATAGTTTTAAATTAGGTATTTAAAAAGATTTGTATATTTCTAAAATTAATAATATATTTAGATTTATTGTTGCAAGTAGTAAAATAATATTTTTAAAATATATTATTAAATATTATAGTTAAATTTATTTGTATGATTAAACTTTTTTTTAATTTTTTGATTTATTTGATATTATAATTTTTTTAGAAATTAATAATAAATTAGGAGGATAATAAAAATCTTAAAAATTATATGTATATAAGAAGAAATAATATTTTGATGTAAAATTACATATATATATATATATATATATTCTAAAATATACTATAATATAAAATATATATTCCAAAATATAACTTATTTTCATTTATATATATATTATAGAAATTAAAATAAATTCTATTTTAGAATATATATATATATATATATATATATATTAAATATAAATTATTTTCAAGTTGATAATTATTATTCTAATTTATGCAATATATATATATATAATTAATTTATAAGAGCGGTTAACATTTATTATAATTTATTCTAATTAATTATTCATATATGTGTCACTTTTAAGAGTAGTTAACCGCTCTTAAAAGTGAACATATAATAACGGTTTCATGTTAACTCGCTCTTAAATCGAAGATATAATAGCCGTTTCAAGTTAACCGCTCTTAAAAGTGAAGATATAATAGCGGTTCCCGTTAACCGCTCTTAAAAGTGAAAATATAATGGTGGTTCCACCTTAACCGCTATCTAAAATATATGTTTAACGAGTAGTTAAATCTAGACCCGCTATCTAAAGTCAATTATTTGAAAATATAATCAATTATTGGACAATTTAATCGATCATAACGGAGTAATTAAAAAAGTAATTGATTTAGAATTCGATTTATTCGCAATCGAATCCTAAATAGATTTTTTTATTCAAGAAAAACTAACTAATATATATATATATATATATATATATATATATACTCTAAAATATAATTTATTTTTATTTTACATTAAAATATTATTTCTTTTTATATTTATTTTCCTCGTAATTTATTATTAATTTCTAAAAAAATATTACAATATCAAATAAATTAAAAATTTAAAAAAAATTAATCATACAAATAAAAATTATATTTTACAACTTTCAACCATAATTCTAAATATATTATTAATCTAATAAATACATAATTCTTTTTAAAATTATAAATTTTATATACAACATTATAAAATTATATATATATATATATATATATATATTACTTAATATAAATTTGAAAAATTATTTAAACAATTAATTAATTAATTTATAATTATTCAATTATGATCGATTAATTTTTCAAATAATCGACTATAATCTATTAATTTTTAAAATATACATTAAATAATTACAAATAAAAATATATATCTAGTTAAAATTTTAAAAAAATATTTATAAATTATATATATTATATAAATTATAATTATAGAGTTAAAAAATTTATATTCAGAATTATAACTTTTAAAATAATTACAATTATAAAATTAATAAGAAAAATAACTGTTTTTTATGTTAAATAAATTATATATATAACATAAATTAATATTACATATATTAATTTCAAAATAATTATTATTATATATATATATTTATTTATTTATTATATACATTAAAATAATAATTATCAACTTAAAAATAAATTATATTTAATATATATATATATATATATATATATATATATATATCATTCAAAATATTACAAAAACAAAAGAAAAAAAAATACATTTCAAAAATATAATTTTACATCAAAATATTATTTCATCTTATATACATATAATTTTTAAGAATTTTATTATCCTCTTAATTTATTATTAATTTCTTAAAAATATATTACAATATCAAATTAATAAATAAATTAAAAAAAATTAACAATACAAATAATATAAATATAATATTTAATAATATATTTTAAAAATATTATTTTACTACGTTTAACCATAAATTTAAATATATTATTAATTTTAAAAATATATAAATATTTTTAAAATTTTAAATTTTAAATAAAATATTATAATATTATATATATATATATATATATATATATATATATTTATATATACTAGTGTTTTTTTTCTTATGAAAATAAAAAAATCTATTTAGGATTCGATTATGAACAAATCGAATTCTAAATCAATTACTTTTTTAAGTTGATAATTATTATTCTAATTTATGCAAAATATATATATATATATATATATATATATATATATATATATAATTTATTTAAAGTTTTTAATTTAAGTAATGTATCTATATATAATTATAATTTATATAATATATATAATTTATTTAACATTAATTTTATAGTTATAATTATTTTTAAAGTTATAATTATAAAAATGATTTTTTTAATTATATAATTATAATTTGTTATAATATATAATTGATAAATATTTTTTTTAATTTTAATTTAGTATATATTTTTATTTATAATTTTTAATATATATTTGAGAAATTAATCAATTATAATCTATTATTTGAAAAACTAATCAATTCTAATCAATTATTTAAAAAACTAATCAATTATAATTAATTATTTAAAAAATTATCGAATATAATCGATAATTTGAAAATAATCGATTATAATGAATTATTTGAAAATATAATCGATTATTTGAAAATTTAATCGATCATAATGCGTTGGACATCTATATATGATAGCGGTTCCAAGTTTACGCTATTAAAAGTGAAGATATAATAGCGGTTCCACGTTAACTGCTCTTAAAAGTAAGATATAATAGCGGTTCCACCTTAATCGCTATCTAAAATATATTTGTAATAGTGGTTAAATCTAGAACCAGTTATCTAAAGTCAATTATTTGAAAATATAATCAATTATTGGACAATTTAATCGATCATAACGGAGTAAATAAAAAAGTAATTGATTTAGAATTCGATTTATTCGCAATCGAATCCTAAGTACATTTTTTTATTTTGATAAGAAAGAAAAACTAACTAATATATATATTCTAAAATATAATTAATTTTAATTTTACATAAAAATATTATTTCTTTTTATATGTATTTTCCTCGTAAATTAATTGAATACTTATAAATTAATTAATTAATTGTTTAAATAATTTTTCAAATTTATATTAAGTAATATATATATATATATATATATATATAATTTTATAATGTTTTATATAAAATTTATAGTTTTAAAAAGAATTATGTATTTATTAGATTAATAATATATTTAGAGTTATGGTTGAAAGTAGTAAAATATAATTTTTATTTGTTTGATTAAATGTTTTTAATTTTTTAATTTATTTGATATTGTAATATTTTTTTAGAAATTAATAATAAATTACGAGGAAAATACATATAAAAAGAAATAATATTTTATGTAAAATTAAAATTAATTATATTTTAGAATATATATATATATATATATATATATATATATATATATATTAGTTAGTTTTTCTTTCTTATCAAAATAAAAAAATCTACTTAGGATTCGATTACGAATAAATCGAATTCTAAATCAATTACTTTTTTATTTACTCCGTTATGATCGATTAAATTGTCCAATAATCGATTATATTTTCAAATAATTGACTTAAGATAGCGGTTCTAGATTTAACCGCTATTAAAAATATATTTTAGATAGCGGTTAACGTGAACCGCTTATTATATGGTCACTTTTAAGAGCGGTGAACGTGAGACCGCTATTATATCTTCACTTTTAAGAGCGGTTAACTTGGAACCGCTATTATATGTTCACTTGTAAGAGCGGTTACGTTGTTAACCGCTCTTAAAAGTGACACATATATGAATAATTAATTAGAATAAATTATAATAAATGTTAACCACTCTTATAAATTAATTATATATATATATATATATATATTTTGCATAAATTAGAATAATAATTATCAACTTGAAAATAATTTATATTTAATATATATATATATATATATATATTCTAAAATAGAATTTATTTTAATTTCTATATATATATATATATATATATATATATATATATAAATGAAAATAAGTTATATTTTGGAATAAATATTTTATATTATAGTATATTTTAGAATATATATATATATATATATATATAATTTTACATCAAAATATTATTTCTTCTTATATACATATAATTTTTAAGATTTTTATTATCCTCCTAATTTATTATTAATTTCTAAAAAAATTATAATATCAAATAAATCAAAAAATTAAAAAAAGTTTAATCATACAAATAAATTTAACTATAATATTTAATAATATATTTTAAAAATATTATTTTACTACTTTTAACAATAAATCTAAATATATTATTAATTTTAGAAATATACAAATCTTTTTAAATACCTAATTTAAAACTATAAATGTTAAATAAAATATTATAACATTATATATATATATATGTATATATATTAGTTAGCTTTTTTCTTAATAAAAAAAAAGAAAACTATTCAGAATTCGGTTGTCGGAAAATCGAATTTTAAATTGTTTGAAAAAATTATCAAATACAATTACGTTTAGGTTTCAGTATTTCAAAAATCGAATTCTCAATTTAAAAAAAACTGTACTATCTAGATAAATAAAATGTATAGTATGTTATTTGAGTAATTAAAAAACGAATTAGTGCTAGTGTAGAAAAAATTTCCAAATCATGCTGTTCTGATTTTAAGGTAATATACGTACATGCATGAATTCCTATTCTAATTGAAATATAGCACAAAAATAATATCTATAATATAATTTTTAAATTTTATTATAAAATTAACTTAGGTCTGACTATTACAGTGGATGACTATGACTATTGAAACCTAACCGATCTGTGGATTGCAGAAAGACAAAAAAGCACTCTTAAATATCACAAAACAATAACCACTTACCGAATTTTGTAAAGGGTATTATCGTTCTTTCGTTCCGTGCTGTGCCCTCGCAAAATACCAACTCGCGCGAGAGCAGTGAGGAATCAGCGTTTACTTGTTCCGCATATTCTCCTTCCTCTTCGTTTAGATTTGAGAGAGAAAAGAATTGGATAGGAGAGTTTTCGGTTTCGCCGAATTGAATCTGAGTTCGCGACAGAACGATGGGAGTCCCAGCCTTCTACCGGTGGCTAGCGGAGAAGTATCCGATGGTGATTGTGGACGTGATCGAAGAGGAACCGGTTGTAATCGAAGGCGTTCAAATCCCGGTCGATACTAGCAAGGCGAACCCTAACAACATCGAATACGATAACCTCTACCTCGACATGAATGGCATCATTCATCCCTGCTTCCACCCCGAGGATAGGGTAACATTTCTCCTTCTTCTTCAATTTCACCACAAATTCCTCTTCATAACTTATTTGTGTATTTATTTGTTATTATTGAATTTCAAAAATGTATTGTAACCATGATTACGCGTTGTGTGCTTGAATGCAGCCTTCTCCGACGTCTTTCGATGAGGTGTTTGAGTTGATGTTCGACTACATTGATAGGCTGTTCGTTATGGTGCGGCCGCGGAAGCTGCTCTACATGGCTATTGGTGTGTGTTTGTTTCTTAGTTCTGATTATTTGTGATTTGTAGTTTGTAATTGCGTTGTTTGTGTTGCTGGAGAGACTTATTTTTGTCAGGTTTTACTTGTAGATGGTGTTGCGCCGAGGGCCAAAATGAACCAGCAACGATCTAGGCGGTTTAGGGCTGCGAAAGATGCAGCTGATGCGGTATGGGGTTTTCGAATTTATAATTATTTTACTCTTAGTAAGGTTTTGTGTGGTTCTGATCCGTTGGGATTCGTTATAGACTTAGTTCTTTTGTGTTTCTTGGAATAAAGAAAGATGTTACTTGAACAGCAAATTTTACGACTAATACAGAGAAAGTGTGAGAAGTAAAAGATGTAATAAATGATGGAGAACGCGTGATGTTGTATGAATAACATATTTCTATCTAGCAATTGACGTCGACTCTGTATGAACTACTACATCTACTGGTAAAATATTTTCCTGAAGTGGGAGGTAGGATGTTAGGAACCAAAAATTAAAAAGAAATATTTTTATTGAATAGCATGAAAAAGAACAAGAAATAGGAGGCAGGAGCACTCTCTCCTGGGAGGGTTTCTCCTTCACGAAAGATATCTCCTTTCACAAAGATCAAATGCTCATTTTACAAAATGAACAACTCCTTCACCTATCCTTTTTATCCTATTTATATCTAATTAATACCTCAAGTAATTAACTAACTCATTAATATTCTAACTATCTTAATTAACGTCTCCTTCTCCTTATATCCTAACAATAAACTCCTCCTAAAATCAACCTTATCCTCAAGGTTGGAATAGTCGAAACATGATCCCATTACTCATCTTCATGACCATGATCGTCATTTGCCCTTCCTGATAGCATTGTGGTGCTTTCTTGCCATAGGGATGAGACCCATTGGCTACTGCATTCAAATTCAGAATTTGTGGGTCTGGAGGAGGTGGGGATGTGGGTGGATTTTGTATAACAGTCTCTAATCCACAGATGCAATGAATTTTAATGAGCCCAGTAAGTTAAAATTCCAAGATTCTAATGTCATTGATGTTCCAACTACATTCATTATTAAATCTAGGTCCAACAATGATTTTTGCTTCATTATATGGAAATCTGAATTTTGGAAAAAATGATGTTTGGTTGCATGTCCACCTTCAGGTTCTTGTTTGATTAACTCTACAATTGGGTTGTTGAGAAACTGATCTTGACAGCCACAATCTTAACACTTTTTATTGATGCACCTAGTATAGTCAAAACCGAGAGGGAAATTGTGGAATCATCTGATTCCACGATTCTGGACCCCATCACCGTGTTAGTTTCTAGGTGAGATTGGAACAGTGTAGGATTATTGGAATCCCTGTCCAAGATCGGAAAAAATGTAGAATCGCAATCTGGTTGCAGGTTGAAGTTACGTCGTCGTGGGTTGAAGTTACGTCGTCGTGGGTTGAAGTTACATCGTCGTGGGTTGAGGCTGCGTTGTCACCTATCGCAGGTTGGGTTGCGTCGTTGCCAGTTGTAGGTTGGGGTTGCATCATCGCCGATCACGTTCCGAACAGTGAGAAAAAGGAAAAATAGAAAAAAACTGTTTATTTGGGATTCCTCCTCATATAGAATATGAAATGTATTTTTTTTTTCTTAAAAAAAGAACAGTCTTGTCCTACTATTTTGAAGTGAGGTTACGAACGATCATCACATTATTTAAGTTTTATTACTGGTGCTTTATTGTTTAGGTTTAAAACCTAAATAATAAAAGCAAAAAATAAACTGTTTATATTATGTATTTCTAATATGAAACATTTTTTTTTCTTCAAAGAAGAAGAACAATATTATCATATTGTTTAAGTTTTATTGTCAATGTTTTATTATTTAGGTTTAAAACCTAAACAATTAAAGTCACCTTGCTTTTATGAGTTAGGTTTTAATCATTAAGATTTATATTTATAATTTAAAATTTATTTTATGATATATATTTATTTATTTTATGATGAAATTATGTGTATTTTTATATATTTTGAGATGTATCTTGGTATTTATTTTATTATTATATTAATATATATTTTATATTATATAAAAGTAGGATCTACAATTTGTGTTACGATTCAATGATTTACGATCATGTGAACCTCTTATGATCTCACTCGTCACCTCGATTTTGATAACCATGGATGCATCAACATCTTCCTCCATAATAATTGTTGTTTCTCTGACTAAATTTCCTCCATTTTTGGTTTCTTCTCCACTACAAAGGGTGTGATTCTTGATTAATGAGTCTTCTTTTCTACTATTTTTTGATTTCAAGAATTGCAACATGTTACCATTATACTCAAAACTGTCACTCTTTGAATCAATTACCCTTTCTATGCTTCCATCAAATGTGAGTAGTTCTACCTTTCTTGTTTAAGAACTAGCCTCCACTTCAATGCATATTGACCCTCCACTTCATTCAATATCTTGTGCAACCTTGTTTTAACTCTATATGTTGGTCCTCTCTTTCAAGAACACTGGGGAAGTCCCATGTATTTTCTACAAGTTTTCATCTTAGTTTGCTCTTATTGCTTCATGGCAATCGATCTTTCAAAGATGCGGCTACCATTGGTATCTTTGAATCTTTTTATCAAAGTTATGGAAGATGATATATGTATGGATGTATAGAGAGAGAGAGGATCCACTTACTCCAAGAGTAAGTAAGAGTTAAAAACTTACTCTCAATCCTCGCTCTTCATTTTCTTGTAATCTAATGGTTAATATGACTTATCATTAGACCATTAGAATACCAAAAAATATAGTGAGGATGAAGACTCTAATTCTTACTCTTGGAATAAATAGATTCCTCCTTATATATATTTAGTTAATACTCTGGTCTTAGTCTTGAGTATTTAAACAATTTTGTGGCTTATTACATATACGGGTAAAATATATCTTGTAGTGGGAGGTAGACCTATGATAAATTGTAAGTTCTCTTGTAATGATGTGCAGTGCTACTATTATGCTTTGTTTGGTTTAGTGGATGGAAATTGAGGGGATGGAATTGGAATGATTTGGAGAAAAAGTGAGTGAAAAGTGAGATTATTTAGTTTACTTGAAAGATAGTGGAAATGAGTAAAAGTTTATTGTGTATGTGATTGATTTGATTTTAGATATGAAGGTTGGTAATTGATTTTTAAGTGTATTGTCAAAATTGCACTTAGGTGTAAATTTTAAATATAAACATTATTTTTGACAAAAAAATAGAAAAGAGGGACAATGTGGTGTTTTCATTCAAAATCCTCACAAATCTCTACTTTCTCCTCACCAGAGCACCATATTTTCACACTCAAAACTTTCTCTACAAATCCTCTCAAATACACTCAATCAAACCCAAACAATGATCTTAATTCCTCTTAAATCATTCCTCACCAATAGGAAATATATTAAACCAAACTAAGTGTTAGTGTTTCGTATATTCATCCAATTCTGAGGTTAATGTTGTTGCGGTATTATTTAGGAGTAGAAATAGGCCTCACTAAGTGAGGCCTTAGTAGGTCTAGATCTGACATTTGTTAAAAAGTATAATGCTTGTCCCTAACATATTTTCCTGTCATAGGTCTTTGGAAAAGACCTGGCTTGACCTTAATAAAAATTTAGTCTGGTCTACGAGCCTGTTTAATAGACTATTTTGTATTATAAGTACTTTCAAGGGCTTGTGGATTCATTGTATTATTGGCCTAAGTAGTCTCGCTAATAATTACAAGTTTCTTATTTTATTATATAGTATAGGTATTGTTTCCTTATTATATATATATATATGTGTATATATATATATATATATATATATATATATATATATATATATATATATATAAATTATACATGTACAATATAACATAATAAATTACTTATTTAAAAACCTAATTTTTATAGGTAATTACACAGGGTATAAATTTATCTTTGATTCTTATGAGTTTGACATGCATATTTATTGAGGAAAATAAATATATGATTTTGATGCATTCTAACAAAATTAATATAATAATAATACCAACAGAAATTATGTGTTATGTTTACTTAATAACGCTGGCATGTTAGGCTTTATGAGTGGCCTGAGATTTGACCTATTTAACCAAATAGACATTTTTAAAAACTTATGCCCGACCTACTCTTTTGAAAAGGTCTGGACCAGGCCTGAGGTAAGCCTGTTCATAGACTCCTATAGGAAAGCCTTACCTATTTTCACCCGCAGTCCTATAATACTGATGTATATGTGAGCAACTTTAATTTGTCAATAAAATGGTGAAAAATCTGAGAAGATAGATATGATTTTTTCTCATGTTTGCCTGTTTCTCTTTTTGGATAGGCTACTGAAGAAGAAAGGTTAAGGGAGGAATTTGAGAAGGAGGGTAGAAAGCTTCCTCCTAAAGAACAGTCACAGACTTTTGATTCAAATGTCATTACACCTGGAACTGAATTTATGGCTGTTTTGTCAATTGCACTTCAGTACTATGTTCATCTTAGGTTGAACAATGACCCTGGTTGGCAAAATATCAAGGTAGAGAGTTCATTTTTTATAAACTGCAGCTGTGGAAAATGCGTCTCATGGATAGGAGGATCTTAACTAATTTCATGGCTTATGTTTGTGTCTGAAGGTTATTCTTTCTGATGCAAATGTTCCTGGTGAAGGGGAGCATAAGATTATGTCATATATCCGCCTGCAGAGAAATCTTAAAGGTTATGATCCTAATACACGACATTGCCTATATGGTTTGGTATATATCTTACTTCCAACATCTTGTTACTATACAAAATTCAACTTTGATTGTGTTTACCAGAAAAAGAAAATCCACCTTCTTTTTGACTTTCTCTATATCTTCTCTATGATGACAGGATGCCGATTTGATTATGTTGGCATTGGCTACCCATGAAGTTCATTTTTCAATTCTTCGAGAGGTTTGTCTAATGAGTTGTTCATTGTCCCTGAATTGGAGCTTATTTTAGTAAAATAAATATATGATGTTGACAGTGAAGAATGATTGATATACATTTCATGCAATGTTTTTGGCTTAGTTCCATCAATCTTTGGGAGTGATGGGGTTGTTGGTAAATAATGTGTTTTTGCAGATTGTATTTACTCCTGGACAAGACAAATGCTTCCTCTGTGGTCAGATGGGCCATGTGGCAGCAAACTGTGAAGGAAAGGCAAAAAGGAAGGCAGGAGAGTTTGATGAAAAAGAGGCTATTGTGGCTAAAAAGCCATTCCAAGTCGGGATTTGTGATTTTGAAATTCATATCTTATATTGAATATGACAACATTTTTGGTACTTCAGTCCTTAACTCCCACTTCCTTATTTTATTTTATTTTGTAGTTCCTGAATATTTGGACTCTAAGAGAATATCTGGAGTATGAGATGAGAATACCAAATCCTCCTTTCGAGATTGATTTTGAATGCATTGTGGATGATTTTATCTTCATGTGCTTTTTTGTCGGCAATGATTTTCTTCCACATATGCCCACACTAGAGATTCGTGAGGTCTGGTATTCTAGATCTCTTGTTCTCTCTCTCCTACAATCTGTATACTTGCTATGAATCAAATTTGTGGACTGGTTGTCTATTTAGTAAGAATTAATTGTTGATTTTCGTCCTTGATTCCTAATTTGTATTGGACATATATGAGTGTGTTTTTCCCCTTGATTTGGATTTTGGTTGCTAATTTAAATAATTTAGATCAATTTTGAAAATGTGGGTTTCTTCTTTTTATCTAAATAACGAGGAACTAACTATGAAGAAAGCTTAAATTGTTGAGTTGAACAAGAGTAAAGTGCTTTGAGCTAATGCACGGATGAGGTTTCAATATAGTTTTCCTTGTTCTGAAATTTAACTTAATTTAAAGCATGTGAGTGTTTTGTGAAGGATGTTGTAGTCTAGGGTTAGGAACAACTACCCCAAATGCTCGAGCCTTTTAGAGGGAGGCAACAGATGTTGTTATATATTTGACACAAATTTTAGTAGTAAAATGAGCTTTTGAACTAGCATACTTTTCTGCATGTGTCACTGAATCAAAACTCCTTTATAATGTGGTATGGACTATGAGTCAGTCTTCAAAGTTTTCAAAGGTAGTAATGGCTTTGAATATCTGTTTGCTTTTTCGTATATTTTTCTTGGAAAATGTTTGAGAGTTTATAGATTTATTTGCAGTGACCTAGCATTAGGTTTAACTTTGACATGTATTAATGAAACAAGCCATAAGGTGTTATCACATTAATTTGACCTTTCCAATGGGATTTTTGGTACAATCGGGGAGAATGTTATCATTTATTCAAACCTCAGTTCTATTTGAGTTAATTGATTAAGACAAAAAATGATTGCGATTTTTTTTAATATATAATTTTTTATAGTTTAATTCATTGCATAATTTTGAAGTGCAGAAAAATGGATCTAAATTTTCTTGCTGTCTTAACTTCAAAAATGACTTCAATGCTGAGGCAGAAAGAAGTCCTAATATTTTTTTAAATTTCTTAATTTTTTATGCATGGCAGTAATTATGGTGTTATGATATTTGCGGTGTATTAACTGACCTGAAGTGGAATGTTATATTTACAGCTTTAGATTATGTAACTGATCTATTTCTTGGGAATTTCATTGTTTTAAATAGGGTGCAATCAACTTGCTGATAGCGGTATACAAGAAGGAATTTGGTGGTTATTTAACCAATGGAAGCACGGTATGTGGTCGTAACTGGGGCAATTTGTGTGAAATGCTGTGCTACTTTCCATCAAAATAATCCTTTGCAACTTGTCTTTTCTTTCATGCCCTTTTTTCAGATAAACCTGAGCAGGGTGGAGCACTTCATTCAAGCTGTTGGATCTTATGAAGATAAAATATTCCAGAAAAGAGCTCGATTGCATCAGGTCTCCTCAATTGCATCTACATTTCATTAATTTGTGCCTATTGGCAGTGTGTATGTCACACACAAATGAGGAAGTGTTGCTGTTCTATTTGTCATAATTTATAGCCATGTAGAATCTAGGAAGAGAACATTTTTTGAAAGAGTGAATGATAATAAAAATTATACTCCTTTGTAGTTTTCTTCTTAAATATAGATGTTTGAGTGCTTGTTCTGAAATTATTCTTCCTTTTGCTTTCAGCGACAAACAGAAAGAATAAAGCGTGAAAAGGCACAGGCAAGAAGGGGAGATGATACTGAGCCTCAATTTCAACCAGAGTCTTTAGTTGCAGTTTCACGATTCCATGGTTCTCGTCTTGCTTCAGCTCCAACACCTTCACCATTTCAACAATCTGGGCGTTATAATTCTCATGTATCCTCATCAGTTAGAAAAGACAACAAAGAAGCATCTGAGCGGCCTCAGAAAGTTGCTAGGTTATCTTCAGGAGCAATTGTTGCTGCTGCTATTATTGAAGCCGAGAGTAGAGTTGAAATAGAAGTATGTTTTCCTGCTTCAGGAGAGGCATTCTTTAGAACTAATATATGGGCTAACCTATTACTGGGTATGAGCCTGGAGAGGAATTAGATGCACTTTGTTATCTTGTCAAATAGTTGTCATTCTAAGGTTTTTACAATGAGGTGGTTATGTCCTGTGTCTTGTTTGAGTTAGTATTCTTTTATCTTTCAGGCTCAAGATAATAAAGACGAATTGAAATCAAAACTGAAGGAGATACTACGTGAGAAATCTGATGTATTCAACTCAAAAAATGCTGAAGAGGACAAGGTAAAATGTAGAGTGCTTATTGTATGTTTGTTTAGTATTTTAGTTTTCCTATGCATTTATGCTTGTGGTTTTGTTTGTCTTTAGTAAGTTACAAATATAATGTAAGTTGTCCTCCCTCTGGATATTAGATTTAATTTTTGTTTGTTTAATTTTGTTTTGTTTGTATTTAGTAAGTAACAAATATTATGACTTTTTTAATTATTTGTTTTGAATCTTTTGATTCACTATATGGTTCAATGCATGATTTGGAAAATAAATCTTTCTATTCATGATGTGAATTCCGGTGTGGGACAAGTCCCTTATGTTGGTAATTGATATTGATTTTCCCATTGTAAAAAAATGTAATTTATGCTTTGGGAGTTTGTGAGGATCTCATAATGTTTATTAAGTTGATGTGGACTAGTTAAATTTCATATAAAAGATGGAATAATGGTAGGATTTATTAAATAAATAAAATTGATGAAACAAATATATTTCCCCTGTAAATTCATGCTTATCTCCACTATAAGATTTTCTCAACTGAGTCCTGGACGAACCTTTGCTCAAAAAACGTGAAATAGAAATGCAAAAAAATTTCGAGCCTTTTAACTTAATAATTTGTCAAATTAGGATCCGTAGTTATTCTTTATTTCTGAAGAAAGACTTTTGAATTTGAAGTGCATGCCTCAGAAAGATTATCCATTTGTAGTTGTTTGTCTGATAGTGCTGTTCATTAAGAATGATTTTTACTCCTGTACGCTGAGGGAATGGTTGGAGTTCTTCCCATGTACCTATAACAAGTTCAAATGGTGACATGGTTGCACTACCCTTCCCATAAGCCTGAGCTAAACAGGAGCTTTTGGGGGGGGGGGGGTTGGATTCATTGGATGATGATGCCACATGGAACTGAATTATGTGCAGAACCTTCTAAAACTTGCTTGGATTTAGGTTATAACTTACTATTTCAAGAAGTATGGCTTGTATCTGTAGCTTGCAATTCTGACTCTTGTACTGCTTTTTTTATGTATAGAATGCTATTTCTCTTTAACTTTTTAGACACAATTTAGGCCTTTACATGTAGTAATTTCTCAATTTGGTCCATGCCACAACTACCCCTTACACATTAATATTTTTTTCTGTGTTTGTGTAAGCAACACATACTTATAAGGGACCCCTTATACTTATAACTCACTTAAATTAGTTCCTATATATGCAAGGGACCAAATTAGGAACGTGCTGCATGTATATGGACCGAAATAAGAATGTGTAAGAAGGGAGTAATGTTGACAGGAACCATATTGGTAATGTTATACATGTATATCTACTGTCTAATAAGATTTTACTTATAAGGACTAAATCGAGAATTTGTTACGAATATAGGGACTAAATTATATGTTTAAATCTTTAAGTTGTTTCACTTCATTTAGCTAATATTTCTGGTTTCAACAGATTAAGTTGGGAGAACCGGGCTGGAAAGAGAGGTATTATGAGGAAAAATTCTCGGCTAAAACTCCTGAGGAACTTGCTGCGATACGAAAAGATGTTGTAAGTAAATGAATTGAAGTTTTACTAATTTTGATTATGTTAGGAACCAATAATTGAAATGAGAAAAAGAAAAGATTGTTACTGAATAGGATGATAAGAACAATGAATAAGAGACAACTCTTCTCCTAGGTTTCCCCTTATTAAATCCTAACAACACACCCTTCTTAATTTCCTCAAAGTTTGAATTTGAAACCGGAATTGCTCATTGAAATGACACACTTCCTCAAATTTTCCCTGATTGTGGGAAGACAATTACTGCATTTTATCTTTAGCTGGGAGCCACTACTGCCCATCCATGCAAGTTTGAGTTTGGAGGATCCGCAGGAGGGGGGGGGGTGAAAGCAAATTCTGAATAATCTGGATCAATTTCTCTTTGCATCTGTACTCTTAACATGTTATCAGCTACACAAGCATCCATGTTTAGCAGCATAAATCCAGCCACCCAGTTTGAACTATCTGTGACACCATTTCTCTTTGTGATGAAACTTCATGCCCAAACCTATCAGTTAAGAGAGTGAAAAGAAGATTTCTAATTTTGTGGGATGCATTACTCCACTTTATGATCTCATATATATATAGGATTACAACATTTAAAAAAACAACCACCAACTACTAACCACTAACTAATAATAATTCTAACACTCCCCCTCAAGCTGGAGCATACAAATTGTATGTGCCAAACTTGGAACAAATAAATTCAATTCGAGGTCCTCTTAAAGACTTTGTCAACACATCTGCAAGTTGATCATTGGATCCGACAAATTCAGTGCAAATTTCTTTAGACAACAATTTTTCACGAATAAAATGACAATCAAGTTCTATATGTTTGGTCCTTTCATGGAACACCGAATTAGAGGCAATGTGGAGAGCTGCTTGATTGTCACAATACATCTTCATCTGTTGGATCTCACAAAATTTCAGTTCTTGAAGGAATTGTTTCACCCACACTAGTTCACAAGTGAGAGATGCCATTGCTCTATATTCAGCTTCAGCACTAGACCGGGCCACTACATTTTGTTTCATACTTTTCCAAGAAATAATATTACTTCCAATGAGAACACAATATCCTGTAGTGGAGCGTCTGTCCATAGGGGATCCAGCCCAATCAGCATCACAATACCCAGATATTTGGGTACCTCCTTTATCTTCATACAACAGACCTTGTCCTGGAGCTTTTTTGAGATATTTTAGGATGTGAACGACAACATTCCAATGATCAGTATGCGGATTTTGCATAAATTGACTCACAACTCCAATGGCAAAAGATAGGTCGAGTCCGGTAATGGTGAGATAAATGAGTTTCCCAACAAGTCTTCTATATCTCTCAGGATCGTAGAGCGGTTCACCTTGATCCGCCATTAATTTCTCGATTTGGATCCATAGGGTCATGTCATCGGTCTACAATCAATCATGCCTCGTTTCTTTCAGGATATCTAAAGCATACTTTCTTTGTGAGACTACGATGCCTTCTTTTGATTGAGCCACTTCAATCCCTAGAAAATATTTGAGACAACCAAGATCCTTAGTTTGGAAGTGATTGCATAAATGTTTCTTTAGCAAAGAAATTTTATCAACATCATCCCCCTGTAATGACTATATCATCTACATATACAATTAAATAAACATATTTTCCTGAAGCAATATAATAAAAAACAGAATGATCTGCTTCACTTCGTTTTAATCCAAAACTTTGAACAATGTGACTAAACTTTCCAAACCAAGCACGTGCAGATTGTTTGAGACTATAGAGAGAACAATGTAACTTACAAACCAAACTAGACTCCCCCTGAGCAACAAAACTAGGAGGTTGCTCCATATAAATTTTCTCCTCAAGATCACCATGCAAGAACGCATTCTTGATATCTAACTGATGAAGAGGCCAATGATGGATAGCTGCCATAGCAAAGAAAAGTCGAAGCCACAGGAGAAAAAGTATCACTGTAGTCAAGGCCATAGATCTGAGTATAGCCTTTTGCTACTAATCTAGCTTTGAGTCGATCAACTTCACATTTTGGTCCAACTTTAATGGCCTAGACCCAACGACAACCAACAGTCTTCTTCCCATGTGGAAGAGGAATTAAGTTCCATGTACCATTGTGCTCAAGAGCCTGCATTTCATCAATCATGGTTTGTCGCCATCCAGGATGATCAAGTGCCTCTTTCACATTTTTTGGAATAGTAATAGTGGATACAGAAGAAACAAAAGAAAAATAGGAAGGAGACAATCTATGGTAGCTAAGAAAATTGTAAATGGGATGTGGATTACGAGTAGAGCGAGTACCTTTGCGAATGGCAATGGGCCAACTTGAGTCATCATTATCAAGAATCGTGGTATCAGGGAATGATTGAGAAGGATCTGCTGAGGAAAACTCATCTTGGGACATGGGACTGATCATTTGGCTCCTGTGTTGATAGGTAATAAGAGGCAATGATGAGGATTCTGGTGTATTTTGTGTGGAATTTTGGGTGTCAGGAGGAGGAGGTACAAATGACTCCATTAAGGGTATAGGTAGGACATTTTGGACCGAACTAATATCCTGCATAGAAGAAGGGAAGAAGGGAGTTGACTCAAAAAAAGTGACATTAGCAGACATGTAGTACCTCTTGGTTTCAGGAGAATAACATCGATATCCTTTTTGAAGACGAGAATATCCCAAGAAGACACATTTGATGGCTCTAGCTGATAGTTTATCTAAACCTGGAGACATATCATGAACAAAACATACACAACCAAATACACGAGGAGAAACATGAAAGAGAGGGTCCTTTGGCAATAGAACAGAGTGTGGAACTTTATTGTTAAGAGAAGAAGATGTCATTCTGATAATGAGAAAACATGCAGTAAGAATAGCATCTCCCCAATGATAAACGGGCATATTTCCACAAAGTAATAAGGTACGAGCAGTTTCAACAAAATATCTATTTTTTCGTTCTGCTATACTATTTTGTTGTAGTGTGTGAGGACAAGTAGACTGGTGTAAAATGCCTTGGGAGCTCAAGAGAGTGGAGAAATTAGTAGAAAAGTGTGAGAAATCAAATAGTATTTTAGGAAAGAATAAATAAGGAAATTTGTATATTTCCTTGTAATCTGTACAGATTTGAATAATTAGGAACAATCCCATAAATCAAGGGATCCTAGCATAAAATAAAGTTATTATATTTCCTAAAATAGTTTAGGTCTCTTGTATATATCTTATATCATCTCTTTGTATTGATATAATAAAATATCATATTTCAGCTTAATCTATTTTTCTCGAGATGGTATCGAGCTTCCGATCTAGGAAGCTCGTCTGCGCTCGATAAACCCTAAGACGGCGACTCGCATTGCTCGCTGCATATTTTGTAACCCTAAGACGGCGACTCGCATTGCTCGCTGCATTTTTCTTAACCCTAAGACTGCAGCCTACATTGCCGCTGCATTTTTCTTAATCCTAAGACGACAGTCTGCATTCGTCGCTGCATTTTTCATAATCCTAAGACGACAACCCGCATTGTTGTTGCATCGCACCTTTTGCTATAATGTCAAGGGAAGAGGAGATAGAAAGGGTGAAAATCATTCTTAGTAAGCTGGAAAAACCTATAGGTATGTGTTCTTTGGCATACTTAGGTAAGTTTCCACCTTCTTTTGGATTAAATGTCTCGGATACGCCTTTTAACAATTATTGGATATTGGACTCGGAGCCACAGATCACATGACACCATTAGCCAAACACTTCTCCACATATTCCCCATGTCCCAAGCAAGAAGAAAATTGCCACAGCGAGATGGAACCCTTATAACTACAGACTGGTCAAGGAAATATCCAAATCAATCCTTTAATAACCTTAAAAGACGTTCTCCATGTCCCAAAGTTGTCCACGAACCTAGTGTCTATACAAAAACTTATAAAGGATTTGTCATGTAAAGTTGTTTTTTCCAACGATCATTGTGTATTTCGGGATAAGGATTCGGGGAGGATGATTGGACATGCTAGAGAATGGAATGGCCTTTATTATCTCGAAGATCCAAGTCTCGCCTAAGCAAGAATAGAATCTCTCACTCCTTCATATCCGAATCCTTGATGACCAACGAGAGAAAAATCATGCTTTATCATTGTCGGTTGGGACATCCCTCTTTTGGAGTGATCAAAATTATATTTCCCTCTCTGTTTACCAAGTTAGATGTTGAGAGTCTTCATTGTGAGGTGTGTGAACTTGCTAAGCACAAACGTATATCTTTTCCAATAAGTAATAGAATTAGCAACTTCCCTTTCTATCTTGTTCATACCGATGTATGGGGACCTTCTAATATTCCAAATGTGTCCGGTACTCGATGGTTTGTCACCTTTATAGATGACTCGTACAAGGGTCACTTGGGTTTTCCTACTTAAACAAAAATCGAAGTCGGTTCTGTCTTCCTAAACTTCCACTCCATGATAAAAAATCGGTTTGGTGTTAATATTAAGAGGCTTAGGTCGGATAATGCCAAAGATTACTTCAATCATGTCCTTAATTCTTTTTGTCAAAAAGAAGGTATAATTCATGAGTCCTCTTGTGTCAAAACACCACAACAGAATGGGGTCGCAGAGAGGAAAAATGGACATCTATTAAATCGGACTCGGGCATTGTTGTTCCAAAAAAGTGTCCCAAAAAATTTCGGGGAAGCTCGTCCTTACAAGAACATACCTTATCAATAGACTACCCTCTAGAGTCTTAGGATCAAAAAGCCCTATGGAAGTTTTGTCGTCTTTCTATCCAAACTTGTCTACTACAAATAATCTTAAACCAAGAGTTTTTGGGTGCATCTCATATGTCCATATTCATAGTACAGACATGGGGAAAACTTGATCCTAAAGCCTTAAAGTGTGTCTTTGTTGGTTACTCACCCACTCAAAAAGGGTATAAATGCTACCACCCCCATCCAAAAAATTCTCGTGTCTAGGGATGTTACCTTCAATGAACAAGAGGGCTATTTCCATCAACCTTATCTTCAAGGGGAGAGTTTCGGGGAAGATAAGGAAAGTAGTGATTCCGGTTTTCCCATTCTTCCAGACTTGACATTTGAACCTAAACGAAATCATATTGAAAGTAGTAATTCTGGTTTTTCTATTCTTCCAGACTTGATATTTGAACCTAAACAAGATCAAATTGAAGATCAAATTGAAGTTGTAACAAATGAAACAAGTCAAGGAATTGGTCAAGCAAAGGAAGTTGGTCAAGAAAGTGAAATTAATTGTGAAGCTGATCAAGAAGATGTTGAAACTGGAAAATTTGGTAAGAAGATGGTGTACTCAAGGAAGACTAAGGCCATTCCGAGGATCAAGCCATGTTCAAGAATCCAACTCGACTCCACAAAAAGAGGTAACAATTTTTTCTCCAACTGTGCAGGTTGAAATTGAAACCCAAAATGATCCCGACCTCCCAATTGCCATTAGAAAAGGAACAAGAAAATGCACCAAACAGACCACTCTACCCTCTCTCAAATTACTCGTCCTTTAAAAATTTCTCTCCTACCCATAAAACCTTCCTAGTAAACCTAAACACCGTACTTCTACCTAATACCCTATCCGAGGCATTGTCTCGACGTAAAATGGAGGCAAGCCATGGATGAAGAGATGGAGGCATTGGAGAAAAACAACACTTGGGAGTTAGTCACCTTACCAATAGGAAAGAGGCCAGTTGGATGTAAATGGGTCTATACAAGTGAAATACAAGGTCGATGGATCAATTGAGAGATATAAGGTAAGACTAGTTGCCAAAGGATTCACCCAAACCTATGGAGTTGATTATTTGGAGACCTTTGCTCCGGTTGCCAAAATGAACACGAGTTAGGGTGATATTGTCCCTTGCTGCCAATTATGGTTGGAACTTGGAACAATTTGATGTTAAGAATGCTTTCCTACATGGAGACCTTGAAGAAGAAATCTATATGGAGATACCTCCGGATATGGTAAAGATGTTGCTACCAACACCTGTTTGCAAGTTGAAAAAGGCATTATATGGGTTAAAACAGTCCCCGTGCATGGTTTGACAGGTTTACTAAAGTTATGACAAGTCCGGGTTACAAACAAAGCCAAGGGGACCATACTTTGTTTTTTAAACATTCCAAGTCGGGGGAGTAACAATATTATTGGTGTATGTGGATGACATAATATTAACTGGAGATAATAAAGAAGAGCAACAATTATTGAGTCAATGCTTAGGCAAGGAATTTGAGATCAAGACTTTGGGAAAACTAAAATATTTTTTGGGAATTGAAGTTGCCCACTCCGAGAAAGGGATATTTATATCTCAGCAGAAATACATCACCGATTTGCTCAAGGAAACAGGCAAGGCAGCTTGCAAACCCGCTAGTACCCCATTAGAACCAAACCTAAAGCTTGGAAATGCGTAAGAAGATGTTGTCGTTGAAAAAGATATGTACCAAAGATTAGTGGGCAGACTTATATATTTGTCACATACCAGGCCGGATATTGCCTATGCAAGTGAGTTTAATTAGCCAATTTATGCATAGCCCAAAGGAGACCCATTTACAAGCTGCCCACGTAATTTTACAGTACCTTAAAGGAACTCCGTGCAAAGGGGTTCTATTCAAAAGGAATGGTAATGTGAAACTTGAAGCCTATACTCGATGCCGATTATGCAGGGTCAATTGTGGATAGGAGGTCAACTACGGGATATTGCACCTTTCTTGGAGGAAATCTTGTGACTTGGAGAAGCAAAAGCAGGGTGTAGTGGCTCTGGTCCAAGGTCTTAGGCGAATTCCGAGCCATGGCACAAGGTATATGTGAGTTGCTATGGCTTAAAATCATCTTAGAAGACTTGAGGATAAAGTGGGAAGAACCTATGAAGCTCTATTATGATAATAAGTCAGCAATCAGGTATAGCCCACAACCCAGAGTGCAAGCATGATAGAACAAAGCATATTGAAGTAGACAAACACTTCATCAAAGAAAAGCTTGATAAGTGGCTTGATATGCACTCCATATGTGTCTTCTCAAGACCAAATTGCGGACATTCTTACCAAGGGACCGAGCTGCCATAATTTTGAGAAGATTGTATCCAAGCTGGGAATGGAAAACATCTATTCACCGAGCTTGAGGGGGAGTGTGAGAAATCAAATAGTATTTTAGGAAAGAATAAATAAGGAAATTTGTATATTTCCTTGTAATCTGTCATGCATTTGAATAATTAGGAACAATCCCATAAATCAAGGGATCCTAGCATAAAATAAAGTTATTATATTTCCTAAAATAGTTTAGGTCTCTTGTATATATCTTATATCATCTCTTTGTATTGATATAATAAAATATCTTATTTCAGTTAATCTATTTTTCTCAGAAAAAGTATTCTTTGGCATTATCACTTCGTAAAACTTTGATTACTTTTCCAAATTGATTTTTGATTTCGTTAAGAAAAGACTTAAAGATAGGTAATAATTCAGAACGGTCTTTCATTAGATAAATCCAAGTACACCTAGAAAACTCATCAATGAAGGTAACAAAATATCTATAGCCAAAGGATGAGACACGACTAGGACCCCAAATATCAGAATGAACAAGAGAAAAGACAGAGTCACATCTAGATTCAGAACGTTTAGGAAAAGAGGACCTAGTATGTTTCCCTAGTTGACATGATTCACATTCAAAATCTTGAAGAGTCTGAAGTTCAGGAACCATTTTTTTTAATCTTGATAAGTGAGGGTGCCCTAACCGTTCGTGTAATAGTTTTGGAGATAAGGATGCAACACAAGATACAGATGATTTAGTCCCAAGGTAGTATAAGTCTCCAGATTTATGTCCTTCGCCAATCTGTCGACCCGTACCACGTTCCTGTATAACAAAAGAGTTGACATTAAAGGTTACTGAACAATTCAATAATTTGGTTAATTGACTTAGGGAAATGAGACTGAAGGGACATGAAGGAACAAAAAAAACAGATTTTAAGTTTAAAGACGGAGAAATGGAGAGTTGACCAGTTCTTTTAGAGGCTACTTTAGATCCGTTGGCTAAGGTTATGAAATGAGGAGTTTTAGGAAATGAGAGAGAAGAGAACAAAGAGGCATTACCGGACATGTGATCGAAGCACCTGAGTCAATAATCCATGGATTTTGACTTTCCACAGATTGTGAAATGCAAGTTGTTGATGAATTTGGGGTTGTTGATGACTGTGCTAGATTACTGGATTTCAACCTCAAATATTCCCGATATTCTTCGTGAGAGAACTTGGGTTCAACCATTTCGCATTTGGAAAAATTGACAGCTTTATCGAGAAAACCGTGCAAAGAGTAGCAATTTTCCACTCGTATGACCCATTCTCTTGCAATGAGTGCACTGAGGACGTCCTCTACCTCCATGTCCTCCTCTAGTGCCGCGACTTCCTCTTCCACGGGTAGAAATCATAGCAGAAGATTCAACAAGTTCTTGATTATTTTTTCCTTTGAGAGTTGGAACACGAAACAGTCTTGTAGTCAAACTTTCCATAGAAGGAATTTCTTGTCCAGTTAAAATTTGATCTCTAACATGATCAAATTCTGAATTCATAGCCTGGAGAGTCATAACCATATAGAATTTATCCAACTTTTGCTTTATCTCCTCTAACGAATCCACCTCTAGGAACATCTTTAATTCTTCAACTGCTGATTGAGCTTCAACAATAAAGGTCATCATATCTTTATCCACTTGCTTGAGAGAAGCTAATCGATTAGCGGAATCATAGAGGTGTTGGATATCATTTGCGAAGATATTCTGAGCTTTTTTCCAGAAAGAGTTACATGTTTTGAAGGATCTGAGAGTGTTCAAAATATTTGGTTCTACTGATTGCCACAGTAGAGCACAGAGTTGATAATCAAGCTTTTTCCAATGTTGAGCCTGATCTTTTGGTATCTTACTTCCGTCTTCTTCAAGATGATCGTGAAACCCTTGTCCAAGGAACCAAAGTTCCACTAAAGAGGACCAAGACATGTTATTTTTTCCATTTAATTTCTCAGCCGTTATCGTGGGAGTTCCGGAAAAGGAGGTTGTGGGCCCTGACGACATGTTTTAAATAATGTAGATGTAAGATGGAGACAATGAAACCTATAAGAAAGAGAACACCCAAGATAGCCGGAAGGTTACTGGAAGGTGGTCGGAAAGTCGTCGGACGGAAGCAAAAAAAAAGGTGGCTGGACGGGGGACTGACGGTTGCTGGAAAGTGGCCGGATGGGTGGCCGGAAAATGGCGGACGATGACCGGAAAATGGCCGGACGATGACCGGAAAATGGCCGGACGGTGACCTAAAAATGGCTGGCCGTTGACCGGAAATGGTCGGACGATGACCGGAAATGGCCGGCCGGTGACCGGAAATGGTCGGCCGGTGACCGGACGGTGGCCGGACAGGCAGAGCAGGACCAACCTGTTCTGATACCAAGTTAAGAGAGTAAAGAGAGTGAAAAGAAGATTTCTAATTTTGTGGAATGCATTACTCCACTCTATGATCTCATATATATATATATATATATATATATATATATATATATATATATATATATATATATATATATATATATATATATATATATATATATATATATATATATATATATATATATATATATATATATATATATATATATATGATTATAACATTTAAAACAACAACCACCAACTACTAACTACTAACCACTAACTAATAATAATTCTAACACTATCATTGTTGGTTTCAATATTGGTTTCATTGTGACCCTCAACATCTTTGACATTTACTACCCAAGAATGAGATTCTTTGTGACAATCCCAAAACACTTGATCCTTGAGTTTCTGCTGCAAATTCTCAACCAATTCCACCTCAGTGTTATGAGTAAATCCAACCAGTGAAGAAATACAATAAAATAGAGTATTATGATTAAATCTGTTTATGAATCATCTCATAAGAACTTCTTACAATATGTAGCTATACAGATTAAAGAATCAGAACCAGCATCCCCATATGAGTTGACAGGAAAAAAATAAGAGAAGAGATATTAGAATAGCTGGTCCACACCCTCTCTCCAACCGAAACACGATATATTAAAGGCTGCCCACGTGTAGTCTTTGAGATGTGAATTGGTTATTTGATGCCCACGTGCATCTGCTGCTATCTGTCCTTCATTCGTTCATTTGACCTTCTCCCACTGCATCTTGTAATTCTTCTGTGTTTTTCCTCATTTGCCCTTTTCATACTTTTACCTTGTTACACTCAGCCATAATGATTTTTCAAGTCCTTGTCTTCAATACCCAGTTCACACTGTTCAATTGTCTCATTACCTCAAGGTCTTCCACTGAATCATTATTGTTGGCTTTGTTGACTTCATCTCTTGCATCTTGAAGATCTTTTCAGTAACAACTCAATGTCTGATCCTGTCACTCATATTTCTTGCCCAAGAATAGGTCCCATATCTTTGCAGTGGACATCCCTTGTACCTTCGTCAGTGTCAGGCATAGAAGGATCTAACATTGAGTGTGGTTTGAACAACTCCGTTGAGTGTTTGCCTAAGCCAAAACTCAAACAATAACCAAAATAAAATTTAAAACATGTCACATAAAAGATAGGATAAGTGGAATAAGGATTCACCACTTGAATCAAGCAATTCAATAAAATAATCTATTCTAAGAGTTGCCTGATGATCATACAGCCTAGGCTAGAAAGGAAGGGGGGAGACTATTTCCTATGTTAGACTAATGCCAAGCAAAGCAAACACATGGGCTTCGGTGTGAAGCTTCCTCGGGTGCTAATTTAAAGTTCAAGCTTGTATACTGGTGCTCTGTTTTGGCCAAGAGAAGAAGTCACATGTTTTAAGCATGTATGTGCCACACCTAAGGTAAAGGTGGATGGTCTTGTTTGTTTGCAACCTAGCCTAGGCTTCAAAAAATACTGCTTACTGATGGTGGGTCTAATATGAGCTTATGTCCAGTATCAAAACATATATTACTTGGGGATATTTCTTTGCTTAGATTAAGTTGTATATTCCCTTGAATAAGGTTTGAAAGAAAATTATAATTACAAGTGGAAACAAATGCTTCCTTCCTTTGAAGCTCCAACCATTTCCTAATATCCCATTCATGCTCTCTAGTTCTTGATCTTGTCCATCTTCTTTTTGTAGCTTCCTTCAATTGTTGAATCCGACCTTCCTTCTCCATTGACTTGGCCTTGGCTCGTTTGACTGTTCCTTAGTTGTTGTTTACCCAACCTACCATAATTATTTTTTTTATCAAAGCAGTTGCAGCCCAAAGTACTCTTATATTTAAAAGATTTATTCAGCCCTAGCAACCCAACCAATAGGATCTACCCACATAATACTGACATCTATGCCTTCTTGACCCTAATATGCATTTCATCCATCTCTAACACTCTCTCCCACGAAGATTGGTGAGTCAAAGCTATTGTTAAAAAACAAGATTTGAAGTGAGAAAGATACTGTTAAAAAACAAGATTTGAAGTGAGAAAGATACGAAACACTGTTATATTAAAATAACAACAAATAGGAGAGAAAACTCTCCTTGAAGGGTTCCTTTAAATGAAAGCCAATGCTCAATTTACAATGCTAATGAGTCTTAATCTCTCCTATCTTTCTTCCCTATTTGTGTCTTGGTAACCCTCTAACATTCTGACTATCTTAACTAACTCCCCCTTATATCTGGACAAATTCATATCTATCTAGATTTTCTTATTGCATTCTATTTTTCAGGTCTTGAAATACACTGAAGGCCTTTGCTGGGTGATGCACTACTATTATGAAGGTGTTTGTTCTTGGAATTGGTAAGTTTCTTGTGGTGAAGAGTATAATCCTGAAATTATGCTGTCTTTCCTTTACCTTTAACATGGCACTCATGGTATTTTTCTCTTCCTCACCAATAAAAAATTTGATGACCTAATTTTGGGTGTTGAATGCTTAATTTTGACACTTATTTGGTTGAAAATGAAATTGCGGAATGTGTGGTGCTTGTTGATAACCTCTTCCTGGTCTTTTCTTTCATTGTTTTGCTGCAGTTTCTTGACCAAACTCCTTCAATATATTTTGTGAATTTTGGTACTACAATTAGACAAAAGAAATGATAGTAGCACAGTCTACAATTGACTAACTTTAAGCAATTTTGTTGTATTGAATCTCTTTTGATTTTTGTAGTTTTCAATAAATTTTAACTTTTAGCTTAGTGCAGTCTACGATTAATTGAAGATATTGGAAATAAAATTGATAGATTCTCCTCTCATTTTTTGAGTCTCTCTTGATTTTTGTAGTTCTCAATAAATTCCAACTAATAGTGCAATGTGTGTTGTTAGCACTCCTTGGACAAAGTTCTTTGTTGGAAAATGTTGGAACAAGGCTGTTTTATGCGTTATATACTTTCATCTCATCATCTGTATTGACAATATTAACCACAGCACAACCTAAATTCACTATTTAGAATATCAACGTTTGATGTGTGATGTAGCACTGGTAAGGATACGTTCATCTATCCTTCCTTGACCCACTTTGTGGGGAACCTTGTGCTCTGGGTTACTTTTTTAGATATATAAGTAAGGAAAACACAGCTAGGGCAAGAATAAGAAAATTTATTTACTTGCCTGTGAATTTTAAGTTGTCCTTGTCCAGAATCCTGATTGCAACTTCAAGAATTCCATATCTTATTTTATCAATTTTATTGTTATGAAATAGGTTTTATCCATATCACTATGCCCCCTTTGCCTCTGATCTCAAGGGCCTTGGTGAACTTGATATTAGCTTTAAGCTGGGAACCCCATTCAAACCATTTGACCAGCTTCTAGGGGTCTTTCCTGCTGCAAGGTTTGCTTGTCACCCAAGTTATTATTTTGTATGTAACTGTACCATTCTAAAATTCAGTTAGCATAATAACATTGGAACTATGATATATCTGCAGCTCTCATGCACTTCCTGAGCCATATAGAAGACTTATGACAGATCCAAACTCACCAATCATTGATTTTTATCCTATTGGTCTGTCTTTATCAAAGTCTATTAAATTTTTAGAAGTTCCACTGTATTATGAGTATTGATCCTTACTTAATATTATGTTGTGTCTCAGACTTTGAAGTTGACATGAATGGAAAACGCTTTGCATGGCAGGTTCAATTGAAATTTACCATTGCTTTTATTTTTTCTTCTTTATTATTTCCTAGATATGGTTGAATCGTAGCTCATAAAATCATCCTTCCTTCCTCTTTACAGGGTATTGCTAAGTTGCCTTTTATTGATGAAGTGCGTCTTCTTGCAGAAGTTCGAAAGATTGAAAATTTTTTAACAGTACGTTTGAGCTTAAATGCACATTTGGTCAATTTGTTGTGCTACCCCCCACCCACCCAAATGTTTACTAATTTAACTTATAGCTAATGTTTATCCATATCCTATTTTATTAAGCCTGAGGAAAAGCGACGGAATGCTATAATGTTCGACTTGCTCTTTGTGAATTCTTGTCATCCTCTCTCTGTGTGCATAAGTACACTTGACAACAAGTGTAAAAACATGTCAAACAGTGAGAGGGCTGTGGTCAAGGAAAAAATCAATCCTAAAGAAAGGTTCGTGCATAATGCTTTCAAAATTTTTTCTGATTATAGTTTGATTGGTTGCATATGATGGAGCATTATTTGTGGTCATTACAATTTGTCTCATGATTGTGATAAGACAATAATGTTAGACAAATGACATCTAGAGGGTGAATAGATGCACAAATTAAAATAGATGTCAAATTAAAAATTTATTTTAAGATGTCCAATATTTATTAATTCAATTTTAATTATCAAATTGAACAAAGATAAAGCGGAAACAATATAATCAGAAAGATAAAATATCAACAAGATAAAGAAAGATAGAGATAAAAATAAGGGGCGTAATGAGAGTGATGCAGTGAAAAAGGGATAAGGGAAAGAGAAGAGCACACAGTGATTTATACTGGTTTGGGTATAGCCAATCCTACATCTAGTTCCCAGTTAACTCTTAACACAAGAGTGATCCCAATTCACTATCTTTTAAATTCAGTTCACAAATTACAATCAACTCAGCAAAAAACAAACTAATTCAAAAGATAATCACCTCCTTAGAAACCCACTATGGATAAACACCTCCTCTGAACAAATCAAAGGATAAACACACCTCCTTAGAATCCCACAAAGGATAAACACCTCCCTAGAATCCCATTAGGGATGAACAATCCTCTCAACAAATCAAAGGATGAAACCACCTTCTTGAACAAATCAAAGGATGAAAACACCTCCCTGAACAAATCAAAGGGATGAATAGTTTCCACACAGGAAACCCAAAAAAACACAACAGAATGACAGTGACTACTTAAACCCTAAACAGGGAATTTAACAATCAACCACGTAAGCTCACAAATGATGAATGTAATAAAATAAGAACAGTCATGCTTGGGTAATGGAGACACCAAATTGTAGAAGTCTGTAGAATGTCAACCTCTAAGAATAAGTGTGATTAACAATGAAAGCACAGTAGGCAATGGAGAAGAGGGTTTTCTCAAAACATGTAAAATATCTCTGTTGCCTTGCTCAGAATTCTTTTTTCAAAACTGATTGAATGTAAATTGTATTTTTGAATTCTGTAATTGTGGAAAATAGCATCAAATTGGTCATTAATAATTTCATAGAGAAAAATTAGGATGTATTCAAAAACATTTATTCTTCAAAACGGATATATTTTTCAAATTTGAACTGCCATAATCGATTATGTTACCAGTATAATCAATTATGACAGAGAGAAAATTGTTTTTCCATTTCTGATGTATCATAATTGATTATGACAGTGAAAAATGTTATGTTACAAAATTTTATCACACTTGTACTTTGGAGACTTATACACAATATTACTTCATCAACTTGTACCTTCATATCCAATATTCTAAGACTCTATTTAGTCTTCACGAATCATCTTGGGCATCTTGGGCTTGCTTGAATGTTGAATAAAATCTTTATCAAAAACATATCTTGGGTTTGCTTGAGTCTTGAATGTTGTTGACTTGAATCATCATCAAAATCATCTTTTGGGAATGTAGGGACATGTTTCACATTGTCATTAATCTCTCCCTCATTGCTTTCAATCTCCCCCTTTTTGATGATGATAAAAAAAACACCGGAAATGAATTAAAATGCTTGACTCTATATAACCAACTCAAGATTAGCACAATAGATTATATTTAAACTCCCCCTAGATATGTTAATAACAAAGTTTTCCCTAACTCATCTGAGTAAAACTTCTCCTAACACTCCTTGTTTAATTTAGAATTAGAAATGAATTTTATACAGATTTTAATTCATCTAAAAATCTCCCCCTGTTTCATTGATAATCATAAAAAATTATTATAAGAGAAAAAATTTCTCCCCCTGTTTTACACAGATTAATATCATCAAAATCTCTCCCTGTTTTATTGATACTTATGAAAAATATTGTAAGGGAAATTTAGCACAAATTTGCATAGATTTGTACATAAACCAAGACGAGAGAAGATAATGCATCACAAATTGTCATAGAGAAGAACATCATATTAAGGAGGCAATATCTAGGATACCCAAGGCAAATGAAGAGAGAGAAAGATAGGGGAATAAAATGATTGCAGAGATAATGGAATGAAATGCAGTAGTTTCGAAATTGCGAGTCTTTCTTATTGAGACAACTTTCAAATTTAAATTTAAATTTCAAATTTCTATTCCAATTCAAATTCAAAAATCTCAATCAGGAAAATTTCAAATTTCAAAAATCAAATTTTGAATTTAAACTTCAAATTTCAAACTTTCAAATTTCAAAACTTTCAAATTTCAAACTTTTAGGTTTCAAAACTTTCAGATTTCAAATTTTCAAAATTCAAACTTTTAAATTTCAAATTTTCAAAAATTAAGACTTTTAAATTTTAATAATTTAAAATTTTCATAAATTCAAATTTTTAAAATTTAAACTTTTAAATTGGTTAACAATCGAATTTATGTGGCGAGATAAATGCAGATATTCAATGTAGAGGCATGAAAAACAAGAGTAAACTTATCTTGTGATATTTTTCTGTTCATCCATCTTGTTCTTGTACACCCATTTAGCTCCAATAATCTGTATTGATTTCTTATCCTTGCTGCAACATCAACATACAAATCTAGGTACCCTTTAATTATTTTTGGGTCCTTATTAAGAAGGTTAGTAGAATCACAGTCTCTGCCAAAAGACTAAGGATAAAATAATAGAACCATGATATAATAATCGATTATTACAACACCTTCAGAATCAACATGATATGAAAACCAAGCAGGAATTTTTTTTTTCCAAAAATTCATAATCTATTAGATGTTCAAACTATCATCTAGACATGTATAAATGTTTTGTTCCTTTAGACACTCATTCATATTTGCCATTAGATATGCCAAAATGTTTTATGTAACATCTATTTGATGTATGACCTAATTTCATGCAATAAAAACATGTTGGTTTTCTTTGAAGAAGTCTAAATGAGTTTCTTAAAGTTCTTAAAACTGGCTTCACATCTGTTTTTCTTGACTCTTTCACAAAAATAGTTTTATGAAGTTCTGTACTTTCTTTGGGTTTGTAACCAAGTCCAGCTTTGTTAGAATCTTCTCTCTGATAACATAATATAGAATCAAGATTTTCAGAAAATTTTGAAAACTTATTATTTTCTAACTTGAAAATCTCATTTTTCAAATGATTGCAATTTTCACAAGGTTTAACAACTTTATTTTCTAATGCATTAAACTTTTGTCTAAGTGTATTGTATTTCTTAGATAATTTGGTAAAATCTTGATATTCTTTAAACAATACATCATATTCATTTAAGGATTTTGTATTGCTTACCTGTGATGAGGTTTCATCATTACTTTTTGCTATAAAGCAAATATTTGCTTCTTCTTTTTCATCACTACTTTCGGAAGAACTCTCTTGTATTGTGGAAGAATCATTATCCTCCCAATCAATATAAAATTTGTGTTTTCTCTTATAGATACTGTTCTTCTCTTTCTTCACATATTTCTTTTCTTAAGTTCCGGACAGTCTGGTTTGATATGACCAGATTTTCCACATTCATAGCAATGATATTTATTTGTTCTCTCCTTTCTTTGCTGTCTCTTTTTCCTGTTCTTCATAAAGTGAGAAAATTGTTTAACAAAAAGAGACATATCGGAATCCAAAAACTTACCTTCATTTTCGCTTTCATCTTGTGAAGATTTTTCTGCTTTTAGAACTATCATCTTGGTTTGATTTTGTTCATCGTTCTTTAACCTTTGTAGTTCCATCTCATGTTCTCGCAACTTTCCAAATAAAGTAGCAAAATTCATTTCTGTGAGATCTTTTAATTATGTAATAGTAGTGACTTTTGATTGTCAATTCCTGTCTAAGGATTTCAAGATCTTTGTGTTCAACTCCTCATTGTCAAAATTCTTTTCTAATGCTTTCAAGTGATTTACTATATGTGTGAAGCATGTCTAGAAATCCGTGATGCTTTCATTCTGCTGCATTTGAAACAATTCATACTCCTGGATGAGTGTGTTCTTACGTGCTCGTTTTACTTCATTTGTTCCTTCATGTATTACTTCAAGAATGTCTCATATTTCTTTTACCATCTTGTATTGTGAGACCCTCAAAAATTCATTACGAGTTAAGGCAAAAACAATAGTATTTCGGGCTCTTACATCATAATGGGCATGTTTGTTTTTATCCGGCGTCCATTGGTCAAAAGTCTTTGGAACAACTCCAGATTTCGTTGTTCTTATTGGAATGTATGGACCGTTGAGTACAGCATCCCAAACACCATAATCTAGGGTTTGTAAAAATATTTTTATTTTCGTTTTCTAAAACTGATAGTCTTCTCCTTCAAATAGTAGTAGTCCGTTTATTGAGGCTCCTTCACTGTAAACCTGATTCCGCATAGACATCTTGACAGGTTTAGAAATATCTTATCTAACCTAGATCCGATACCACTTGTTAAACAAATGACATCTAGAAGGGGGGTGAATAGATGCACAAATTAAAATAAATGTCAAATTAAAAATTTATTTTAAGATGTCCTATATTTATTAATTCAATTTTAATTATCAAATTGAACAAAGATAAAGTGAAAACAATATAATCAGAGAGATAAAATATCAACAAGATAGAGATAAAAATAAGGGATGTAAGAAGAGTAATGCAATGAAAAAGGGATAAGGGAAAGAGAAGAGCACACAGTGATTCATACTAGTTCGGGTATAGCCAACCCTACATTCAGTTCTCAGTCAACTCTTAACACAAGAGTGACCCCAATTCACTATCTTTTAAATTCAGTTCACAAATTACAATTAACTCAGGAAAAAACAAACTAATTCAAAAGACAATCACCTCCTTAGAAACCCATTAAGGATGAACACCTCCCTAAAATCCCACTAGGGATGAATACCTCCTCTGAACAAATCAAAGGATGAACACCTCCTTAGAATCCTTCTAGGGATGAACACCTCCTCTCAACAAATCAAAAGATGAAAACACCTCCCTGAATAAATCAAAGGGATGAATAGTTTCTACACAGAAAACCCAAACAAATACAATAGAATGACAGTGACTACTTAAACCCTAAACAGGGAATTTAACAATCAACCACTTAAGCCCACAAAGGATGAAGGTAATAAAATAAGACCGGACACACCTGGGTAATGGAGACAACAAATTGTAGAAGCCTGTAGAATGTCAACTTTCAAGAACAAGTGTGATTAACAATGAAAGCACATTAGACAATTGAGAAAAATGTTTTGGTAAAATATCTTTGTGTGGTGAAGAGAATTTTCTCAAAACATGTAAAATATCTTTGTTGACTTGCTCAAAATTTTTTTCTCAAAATTGATTGAATATAAATTATATTTTTGAATTATGTAATTGTATTGTTTTTTTTTTCATCAAAACTTATTTAAATAGGAAAATAACATAAAAAATAGCCGTTGGTCATTAACAATTTCATAGAGAAAAATCAAGATGTATTTAAAAACATTTATTCTTCAAAATGTATATATTTTTCAAATTTAAATTACCATAATCGATTATGTTACCAAGTATAATCAATTATGACGAGAGAGAAAATTGTTTTTCCATTTTTGATGCATCATAATTGATTATGACAGTGAAAAATATTATGTTACGAAATTTTATCACACTTGTGCTTTGGAAACTTATACATAATATTATTTCATCAACTTGTACCTCTATATCCAGTATTTTAAGACTCTATCTAGTCTTCAAGAATCATCTTGAACTTGCTTGAATGTTGAATAGAATCTTTATCAAAATCATATATTGAACTTGTTTAAGTCTTGAATGTTGTTGATTTGAATCATCATCAAAATCATCTCTTGGGAATGGAGGGACATGTTTTACATTATCATCAATCTTCCCCTCTTTGCTTTCAAATAAATGATCTTTGAACTTGTTTTGGTGTATACATATTGAAATTAATACAGATTTGCTCTGTAACTATTACTTTTTTTTAATTTAAAGTATAAGTTTGGACGTAATACATGCAAAACTGTCACATTAAAAGACTGTACAACAAAAATAACATGCAAGGTAGCTGATCAAAACGGGGTTCAGGTTGTGGAGCATTTTATCACCAGTAAGCTATATGTTGCTGAAATTCCAATTTAGTTCCTAGTTATATGTTTAGCCACTCGGTGGCTAATATTGATGTAGCCATGATTTACCCATAGTTGACATTTAAAACTATACGGGTCATTTGTGTCGGTTCTATTCTGGAATTAGTAATATCCCCGTTTAGGACTTAAATGTTAAGATATGAAAGAAATAATATATTATGATAAAGCGAGTGGGCCTTTTGTAATTTTTTATAGAGGATATTGCTTTTAGAGTAGCAAAGAAGCAATTATTTGAAAAGATGATTTTTTTTCTCCAAAGACTAGCAAAATAGCTTCTACTATGAACTTCACAACAGTTTTTCAAATGCATGAAATTGTCAATTTTGTTTACGTTATATAAATTGAACTTCAAAATGACATTTTTAATATCTTGCTGGACTATTTTCTGATGTTATTTAGGGATACATGCAGTGGTGGAATGAATGGATACATATCCTTATGTGGTGGAGAACCTTGCCCTCCTATCTTTAGGTCTCCTGTTACAAGCATGGAAGACATCATGGACAATCAAGTTATGTAAGTCTCTCGATGCTGGGTATAATTTAATAAGAACATGATTGATGATCATGAATCTGAAAGTTGGTGTGATTTATCTTTGCCTTTTCGTACCTTGTTTTTCAGATGTGCAATATATAGACTCCCAGATGCACATAAACACATTACCCGACCACCACAAGGAGTTAAATTTCCAAAAAAGGTATTAAATTTAGTAGGTGGTCCTTGTTTATTATACCCTCCCATTTCCATGTCCTTTCCCAGTTAAGTGTTCAATTTCAAACGTTGCCGCATTAAGACACGGATCTGTTCAAAGTAGCATACTTCGTGTTTTGTCTACTTATAATATAATGTTGGTGGAAAAATAAACTTGTGTGCTTTTTGTACAGACTGTTACCATTGGAGATCTAAAACCTGAACCTGTTTTATGGCATGAAGATTCAGGAAGGAGACACCATGCTGAAAATGGGAGGCAAGGCTTTCTTTTGAGTTAAATTTATGATGTACTGTTGTATTGCAAGCAGCATCTAGTTGGCTAAAACTGACTGGGGATCTGGTTTTCTTTATCAGGAAAAACCCCCCAGGATCTTCTTCCGGTCGGGAGCTTGGAGAGGCTGCACACAGACTCATTGTCAATTCCTTACAGGTAAAGGTTGATAATGGCTACCACCACGCACATAATGGACCTCCTATATCTTATCCTGCACCAATGGGTCATCGACCACCAGTGTCTTCCTATGGTTATGAATCACACCCAGGATACGTTGCAATGCCACCTCATGTTTCTGCTCCCTCACTCCAAGGCAGACCCCAGATTACGCCTTACGGTGCTGTCCCTACTGCTCAGCAGTATGGTTACAATCAACCATACCTGCCGCCACCAGTGGCATACAATCCTCGTCAGCAATCAAATTCTTACGAAAGAAATGACTATCAACATTCTAGATCACATCATTATGAAAGAAATCACCATCAGGGTAGTGGGGGTAGTTTAAGGCATGGATATCAATCGTCAGGAATTAATCAGAATAACAGGTTTATGAATAATACACAAGGTGCATATGTCAGTCACCATCATGAAGTTAGTCACCACAGCCAAAACTTCCAACCATCTCGAATTCATCAGAATTGGACTCCACGAAACAACCCGAGTGGAAGCAGGGAATATGGTCATCAGTCGTCCAATCAATTTGCATCATTAGATAGAAGAGGAAACAGGAATCCAATGCCTCCACCTGGTTACGATCGCCAATAAATTCGTTTCGTCCGGGGAATGTTATTCCCCACGAATTATATTGTTGTACCATATATTTTTTTCGTCAATTAGTTGAGGTTCGAGAGTTTCGCTTGCATTTTCTCCATTATATAAACCCCGACGTTTTCCATTATATAAACCCCGACGTTTGATAACATTAAACATTTTCCTACTTGATCGGCAATTCAATTTATCGTGCTTTTCCACCCGAGATTATATTGTATATCTCTAAAGCGTGTACCACTGATGGAACATGACGGGTAATTATGTATTCAGTGTAGTATGAGCCAATATTATATCGATTTAATTAATAACACTGTTAATCAGTTACTCGATTTAATTCATTCTTGTTTCCATTATTTTCTTAAAATATGTGTAAGCCCGTAAACTTGTGACTTAAGAAGCGCATTTTTATTTTCCTTAACGTTTTGACTTGCATAGGTAAAGACTAACTAATACTGTAATAGCTTTATATTGGCAACATAAATTTATATTTAAACAAGTATTATATGAAGTTCTAATAATCTATAATTATACATAAAGAATATTTCTTTTATAACTGTCTTTTTATTGTAAATGGGAGAAAGAAAAAATAAAAATATTATAGTTTTTTAAAAAAATTATTTTGATTTATATATTTAAAAAATAATAAACATTGAGAAAGAGAAAAATGGGTATATTTAAAGAGTGGAAATAGAAAATAAAATAATATTAAAAAAATTAATTATAAAAAAGGTATGAATACGTAAATACTTTAATGTTTCCAATAATAATAATAATAATAAAAAAAATTCCACATTTGTCAACAACTGATAAAATGTATAGCTATTATATATGACTAATAATATATGATCGATAAATTTAAAATATAGTCACTAAAGTATATATAAAAAAAAAGTTAAAAAGAATTGAATATATTCTTATTTAAACAAATGATATTTGTTTGATGTTAAAGGTTTTCAAAACTTTTACTTTATAAAATTAAATTACGTCTTAAATGATTGCTACGATTGATAATTTGATCTCATTTTGTAAATCATTTTTAATGATTCCCAATTAATTTTAGAAAGATTCATTTTTTCTTGTAATTCACGAACTTTGTGTCTGTAACTATTTATTCATTCATTTAAGTATATTATTTGTATACTACAATTTTTTGCTTTCATCCAATTAATCATTAAAAACATCACATCACATAAGTGATCAGAAGTTGTTTTAATTTGAAAGTTATTCTTACTTACATGGTTTGACAATTTTACTGTTCTATCAAACCCAATTTTTCTTCTTTTTCTTTTGAAAAATTTTCTCCTTTCTTGTGACTGTTTGGATATTTTATATATATATATATATATATATATATATATATATATATATATATTAATTATGATATATCTCTTTTTCCACTATCAAAACAAGTGAAATTAGATAAAAGAATTCTAAGTTTTTTACTAACTTTTGAATACTTTTTTTCTTGTTTTCATAGTTTTTGACTTATAATAATAGTTAGTGGCGAATCTTCTTGGGAGTCGAGAGAGGTCGTGACTTTCCCAAAGTTTTGTAATTCCCATGTAATTTATGATTTTGACCCCCAAACTTAATGAATATTTAATATATTTACTTGTATATTTACAATTTTATCCTCTTAGTCTCTCTTCAGCTTTGTAACTCTCATATAATTTATGATTTTGTCCCCCTCAAACTTCATGATCATTTAATATATTTAAATGTATATGTACAATTTTATCATTTCACCCTTTTATCTCCTTTTTTCCTTTTATATTTATTTATTAATAATATATTATTTGGCACTCCCAAGATCAATGGTCAAGATCCGCCACTGATAATAGTGAAAACTCATGAATTTCACCCTTTTTTTCATCTTTCATCCTTAATTGATTTTTTTTCTTGAGTTGTTGTTCATAATGTTTATTTCTTATAACTTTTAACATCAATAGTTCTTTCATGTATTACCTTCGAAGTATCTCACGTTTTATTTTTATTGTTGCATTGTGAGAATCTACAAACTTCATCAAGATTTAAGGAAGAAGTAATACTCATCTTAGCTTTAGGTCATTCCTTTTTACTATCTATTCACAAGTTTCATAGATTTAGATCAACTACATCGATAATCATTTTCCTACCCTAAAGGAAAAAATTCTTCCCTTTTTTGGCTGGATGTGGGTGAGGAGGGATTTGAATCTCAAACACTGTAGTTCTTAGCTATATGCTTTAATCCTTTAGTTAAACGTCTCGCTCCATCATTTCCATTGGATGCATGTTCATATCCTAAAAAGTGAGAACATTTCTTTTTCTCAACCTAAGAAGATGTGAAAGTGTCTCTTGCTCTAGGAGAACATGTTAGAATTAATTTAATTAATTCATTCTATCATGTGACTTATGTGAAATGTAATAATGAACCCAAATGTGATTTAATAAAAATATAAGAATCTATTGATTATTATGAGAAGTCATAATAAAATAAAGATAAAATAAAAACTTACCATAACTAACTTGATGGACATTGGTTAATAAAGGGGATTAGGGTTAATGTCTCTGACCATAATGTTACTCTCACAGTAAACCATCAATGTGACAAAAGAAAGAAAAACAAAAAGATAGATTGAGAAAAAGATGTTGGAGAATAAAAATATTGAAGAACGCATTTTCATTAGATATCTCTCATGGATCAAGGTTAATTTTCTTATTATGATTTATCTTATTGTATGAGAATCATGAATATAAAGATCCTAGTTTTCTAGAATGAATGAGAATGTAAGAAAAATACATAATTTGATTTACATGTGGTATCAGAGAATGATTATTAGATTTATGATTTTCCTATTATGATAGTTTTTTTCCAATATATGTTTTTTCCAAATTAAGATAAACCCTAACTATGAATTTATGGATTTCTCTATCAGATTAAGAATAAACCTTAAGAATAAACCTTAAATCCTAATTTATGTTTTCAAGCATCAATCAATTTCAAACTAGAACCAATTTTAAAGCCCTTGTGCATGAATGACCCTGTAATTGATTTTTTTTTTTTTTCAAAAGGCAAATGACGTGATTGGGTTATGACCTGTACAATTGATTTTAATTGAAAAGGTGAATCATGTATGAAATTGGTTTCAATGCATATTATAATTATGATGAAAAAAGGCAAATTGAATTGATATTTAAGCATTAAATCAAGTGCATGGGTTCACGATTAGTTGGATGAAGGAGAATTATATATGTTTTGGTTGTCAACTTTGGTTGTTATTTGTTTGGTTGAAAATTTCAAGACCTATTGTTAAGGTACTGTAAAGGTTTACGTGGTACCTGTACTTATAATGTAAACATTGACAAATAAATAGTTGCCACTTGTTGCGGGATGTGCTTGTGTATAAATGTCTTAATTGCAAATTGAATTGAATTATTTTCGCTGTGTTTAAGTTATACATAAAAGTTTTGAATTAACAATTTCACTTTTACGTGAAATGCAAATAAAATAAAGGTCTTGGATTGAAAATCAATCCTATAATGGAAATTGAAATTATGGTTTCAATTTTATTTATGGCACATAATATTTTATTATGTGAATAATGTACATATTTATTAAAATTAATAAAAAATGCTATGAATGGTTAATAGCAATTAAATATTATTTATTTAAAATTAAGCATGATAAATTTTGTTAGTCTCCAAAGTGAACAAAATTTGAAGATTATTTGATTTTAAATTATTAATGATTTTATTTCAATTACCCATTGTATGAACACTAAAATTATGAATAATTGATTTATGGGTTAATTGAAATTTATTATTATAAAGCATTTCAGGATCACCCAAATGTTGATTAATTGTTATTATAATTAATTAGCATGAAGGTAGATAATTTTGTGTGCATCATATATACCTAAAGGTGTTAGGTGATTCTAGTTGATGCATATTTTAATTATCATTAATGTTAAAAAATGATTAGCATCATTATATCTGTGTATTAGTGGATCTCCCAAAAGAGAACATTAGTATGTATAGAATGGTTATTTATATTTGAATCTGTATTTATATTTAATTTTTATGACTCATAGCGTTAATGTTAGGCATGTGTTAATTGTAATATTTGTCCTTGTATTTCTACATTCGCTTACTTTCCAATCTTTATTGGGTTAAATTTCCCTTACTGGAGTAAACAAGTCCAATTTCACTTAGGTGTGTTGGATCTTGAATTGACTTTCCAAGTTGAAAAACTGGCTGCTATCATTGATGCTAGTAGTAATGAAGAGAAAACTCATTATAAAGCTTGGGAGATTTGACTTTCCAAGTTGAAGAATCAACTACTATCACTGATGCTAGTAGCAATGAATAGAAAACTCATTATAGAGCTTGGGAAAGATCAAATAGACTTAGTCTTATGTTTATGCGAATGAGTATAGCAAACAATATTAAGTCTGCTCTTCTTAAGACTGAAGACGCGAAAGAGTTTATGAAATTTGTGAAAGAGTGCTCCCAAATTGCTGACAAATCCCTCGCTGGGACATTGATGAGTACGTTGATCACCATGAAGTTTGATGGTTCTCGTAGTATGCATGAACACTAATCGAAATGAAAAATATCGCAGTAAGATTCAAGTCTCTTGAAATGACAGTGGAAGAAATTTTTTTTGTGTAGTTCATTTTGAACTTGTTACCGTCTAAGTATGGTCCATTCCAAATGAAATATAATACCATGAAAGACAAATGGAATGTGCATGAATTGCACAATATGTTAGCCCAGGACGAGACCAAACTCAAGAACCTATGAAGTCACTCTATTCATTATGTGAAAAATCAAGGAGTTGAAAAGAAAGTTGTTAAGAAACATGGAAAGGGTAAAAGACCATTAAAGATTAGTGAGTTATATACTAAAATTCAGAAGAAAAATGACAAATGTCATTTCTACGGAAAGTCTGGACATTTTCAGAATGACTGCTTAAAGCGTAAAGCTTGGTTCGAAAAGAAAGGTGAACATAATGC